AAGTGCCGCGGAAAAGTTTTCGACTAATCGGCGCGAGAGCGATTTCTGTTTGGCTCACATGTGACGGTCTCTCGTCAACGTTACGAGTAATAAAAATAATACTCGTGCGATGCGCGGGATGCGCAGGTGCTTCAATAAAACGGATTAACGTTTATTATTTGACTTTCGCTCGCACGGTGCGTTACGGCCGGCAGAGAACTGAATCCGATAATAAAAATCGCTGTTGTTTGTTCGCTGTGATATGCTAAACCAAGTTTACTTATCGATCATTTAAGAAATATTCGGTGCTTCTCGTTGATGCTCGTCGGCTCGCGAGGATACTCTCTCGTCGATGTGTGTCCCGTTCTATCTCGTAAAACACTCGCGCCTTGCATCATGAGCTCCTCATACAAACAGCGTGAAATGTAAATGAAACTTTAACAAGCCCGGAGAGCGCGAAGGATGCGCGGTTAAAAATGTATTATCACGCATATTCGGAAGTATATGAAAATATTTTTCAATCATACAATGAAAACACAGCGGCGGCCATCCAGCGGGTAACCATTGACTTCTCACCTGGCATGTTGCGTATTTCCATGAATATAAAAATGCATGGACTCGTATTCGCATGAAATAGTAATTTTGAAACTGCGATTTTTTTCACGATTTTCTACACTTTCGATGTATGCCCCGACGAAGTTTTGCATATTTGGTAACCATTATCTCTCTCTCTCTCTCTCTCTCTCTCTCTCTCTCTCTCTCTCTCTCTCTCTCTCTCTCTCTCTCTCTCTCTCTCTCTCTCTCTCTCTCACCGTTGCAATCTCGAGATCCTTAATTGTCCCATTTTTCCAGCGTGATCGCGTGCACTTTCCGCGCATCGGCGTTACGATCGCTGTCGTGTCACTCGTACGATCGTTGAATTAATCAAACAGCGTTTGCAGCTCTGCGGATGGGCATGATTAAATCAACAAATCTCGGTCTATTAAATTAAGCCATGAATACGGGCCTCCTTCGAATTCGCCGGGGTTTCGCTGCACGTACCGCCGATTCGTCTCCTCTTCCGCCATCGCGCCGCTCTCAGGCTCGCGGTGCAGCGGCAGACGTAGGCGTCAGGTAGAAAAAAAAGCGTTCGCGAGTTGACGGAAGGAAGGGTCGGGGGAGGGGGCGGAAAGGGCGACATAGGATCAAGAACGAAAACGATATCCCGTCGGCACGTGCACGCGGTTAAAAAGGTTCACGAGGCTTCGGCGCGTCGCGTCGCGCCGCGCCGCGCCGCGCCGCGGCTCGGCCCGGTAAAAGCGGAACCGGCTGTCGTGATACGGATCTGACCAATCATAAAGGCCGCGTATATACGCACACGCATACACGTACACATAATGGCCACTTATTCATCCATCCAGGGCCGCGCAGCGAACAAAGGCGGAAATTAGTCAGGTTCGTTATGCTTATTAATTGACTGACATTTCCGTCATATTATTGTACGGTGAATCGAAAGCTGCCCTCGTACTGGGCCTTCGAAAAGCGGGGCCCGCTTCTGTGTGCGCAAGCGGTTTCGCCGCGGAACGTTTCATCAACGGCGAAGTCAACGATCCGAAAGAACTTGCCGACGTTAACGTGACAGCTAGAATCGCTCTCGCGATCCAACGTAAAAAATTCTTAGGACCGCTGCGCGCGATAAGAACGGATCATACGATAAGGGAGTCGCGCTGTCGAGCGAGTATCGCGAAGGACCCCTCCTTGTTTTTTCAGAGGATACGTTTTGATCACAATCGTCACACTCGTCGCATCTCGACTTCAAAGCGACGTGAACACACACGTGCACGTGAAAGCGACGGAAATAATACAAATAGCTCCATTTGTCGCCGGAGAGCTATTTGACGCCGAAGAGGATCGCGCAGGGAAAAATCGTGCGCCAAAGTTGGATCGATTTTAATATTCCCCGACTTCCGTGGGAATCGTGATATTTATTGACAAATGACGATATAGATCGTGAAAAAAAAAAATGAGAGAAGGAAAGAAAGAAAGGGCTTTGAGGGCGTTTTTCGGTGTATTATGCGGCGAAGTCTGTCGTACGCAGACCGAACACAATGATGATTCATTACGTAAAGTTTCACGCTCATTGTACGCGCGGATATTAATAGATGTTAATTAGCGTGTCGCGTTCATTGGTGACTATTCGGTCAAAGGCAGACGCGCGAGAGTACAAAGTAACGGGAAAACGGGCGAGGTGGCATCATATGTATGCACAAGCGGAATGAATGAGAGGGAAAATAGTGAGACACCGACGAAACGCAAACCGTAATTCGAATATATATTGTAAAAAAATCCCATTTATATAGGACGCTTTTTACATCACGCATGTATTATATTACCGCGTAATGATACCCTTACGGGTATTTCTCTTTTCGGCTGTTCTCGTGAGAATTTCTCTCTCTCTCTCTCTCTCGCATCGCGATGGAATAGACGCGTTGCATCTAAAGATGCTTTATTTATGTCGTCAACTGATATATACATATATATATATATATATACATATATACATATATATATGTGTGTAATCTGCAGCGCGTACACGCTCGAGAAATTTCTTCGTTATCTTTAAAAGTCATATATGTATGGTGTGTGGAAGGGAGGATGAACTTTTGAACCATTATGAATTATTATCTTTCTCATTACGCACATAAGGTACGTCTATTCAGTGGAATTATAACTTTCGTGCGCGATGCGTGTATTGTCGTTTTTGGAAAGTACCATCCTTATCTTTCGACATACGATACCTCGTTATCTTGTCCATAGCGAGAACATGCGAGAACATTGAAAAACGCTACCTGGTATGATGTACAAAGGGATGAAACAGCTATGTGGATTCGCTAATAATGGTGCCCACGGTACGTTCTTCCCCCTCCCACCGAGCCTCCCTCGTTAAACGCAAACTAGGTAAAACATCGACTCTCAAGTACATCTAGGAAACTGTAAAATTTCACGTACGAGGAGCACATTTTCTTGCCGTTCTTCTACTGCTCATTACGTTAAAACGTACATTAGCTCCGCGCGTATCTGTACACGCGATTAAATTTCACGCTTTGAGTTTACAGATATCTCAAACACCGTACGAATCTCTACGCGAAATGTGCGATATTGCCTTGTACGCTTATCTTGCGCACCCTTCGCGAGAAATTTGTAGGAAATGGCGACCGGTTGATTTTCAAAAGGGTGAAGAGCTCACGTAGCGCACGAGGGTTTTCTTAATGACGCTGTCGTTGCTGATGCTGGTTTCCTCTCTCTCTCTCTCTCTCTCTCTCTCTCTCTCTCTCTCTCTCTCTCTCTCTCTCTCTCTCTCTCTCTCTCTCTCTCTCTCTCTCTTCCTCTTTCCCTTCTTCGCGCTTTTCCTCCTCTTCCCTCCCCTTTCTCTCTCTCTCTCTCTCTCTCGCTCTCTCTCTCGCTCTCTCGTGTTTATCCTCCGCTAAGGGACGACACGCATAAAAGAGGGGGCGTATCGATGCCGACGTGCAGCTGCGCCCTGTATCATGCACCTTATATTCTTACGCAGGGCGGTGGGTTATATTGGCGAGGGAATAATGCCACGGGGGTGCCGGAACGGTTTCATTACACGGCTTCCCGAGGGATAATATGCTGGGATATCTCTCCGCGGTCGACCCCACGGGGGTGAAATTCCGTGCCACCAACCGCCTCGCATGAGAGATGAACCCTCTGTGCGGCCCCTTGCTGGAGGAGCATCACCCTGAGCAACCCCTTTGGAGGGAGAGCGCGCCCGGGGCGAGCGAGGGGGGAAATTGCAACAACCGACCACGCCGGGATCGCCATACGGCGACAGAAAATGGCCGATGGCCTCGTGGCGATCGCAAATACGGAGGCGCTATTTTAATAACGGTACAGTGAGAACGGGTAACGCGCGCGCTGCATGATTTCCCTATTCTCTCTGCGAGCTATAGAAAGAGCGACGAGCAGTGAGCTCTCGCAATCAGCAATAGCTGACGCTATTATCCGCTGCAGGGTTTACGCTCCCCTTTGTTTCCCGACATGAGATTTCTAAAGTTAAAAAATGGAGGATTCGCTGAAAACTCCGCGAAGGTAATTCTCTGGTTTTTGCCGGGATCACATCGGATCATTTTTATGAAACAAACGGCCGCGGAAATCTCGCGAAAGTGATTGCATCTTTCGTCTTTCGAAACTTTCGTTCCTCTGTCTCTCTTTTTCTCTTCCTCCTCCTCCTCCTCCTCCTCCTCTCTCTCTCTCTTTCTCTCTCTCTCTCTCTCTCTCTCTCTCTCTTTCCCTCTCTTTCTTTTTTTATTATGTCGGCACCTTTGAAGCTGCCGTGTACACGTTCGAGTTCGTTTAGCTCGGTACCATTATATTGCGATCACACTGACGCGCATTACGATTAGTATTTAATGCGCACATTGTATAAGAAAGGGTCCTTTTCCCGTATCAGATGCGGAGCGGGTCTTAAACCAGTTATTAGACCGTTGACAGGACCATAATCCGACTGCCGCTCGCGATGTGTAGAACGAAAAATATAATGCCTATTAGCGAGGATCTTTCTTTTTTTCTCTCAGCGCGCGCTCGCGTTGCCCTCGGGATTTTTTTTCTTTTCCTTTATTTCCTTTTTTCCCGCGTCGATGCGGCTCGCGCACGGTAATTTCCATTCTCATCCTGTGTGCTTTCCATCGCTAAGTCGTGGCAGCCGTTTTACTTGATTCCGCTACGTCAGAAATCAATTTTTACCTGTCGTACATGATTTTTCGGTGCCGAAGATGAAGAGTCCAGACAAGAATTGTTGGTTGTCCGAGTGTGAAAAAACTGTAGAGTGAAATCCACAATGCATAGAATCGCGTATTATTCTTGGACATTTATTTAAATATTATCGGCGTCTATTACAAAAATGATTCAGAAGTAATAAAATTTTCCGAATCGAAGGAGCATCCTCGATCATTTTCGATCATCATTTCGAGAATTCGTAGGTGCTTTGCAATAATATTCCAAATTCTTTTCTGTTTCAGAGAATATTCTCAAGGAGATTCTCAAGGAGGGGGAAAAGCAGAAGCAGAACGCAATGGATTCGGGTGAGTCAATGGAAAAATACTTTTATCTTACCGTTCTTCGCTAGTGAACGCTCGATTAGCGTAAACGCGGGTCCGTCGCGTATCGGAAATTTATCCGTCACAAAATTCAACGTCACGTGTCGATCACGATCGCACGCTTGATAATGAAAGCGTGGCTAAGTAACTCGAGAGAGAAAGATTCCCGTCGTTTCTGTACGGTTTAGCCGATACAATGTACCTCGGACGAAACCAAACGCTGCGCGAACTTCCAGGTGCCTGCCTCCATTGTACAGAGCGATACTCGAAGAGCAAGTAAGCGAATATTATGTAACATAATTCGGGTCGTTCAAGCGCGAAGACCCGCTGCAGTTATTATATTTACCGCAGCACCCCACCTCGCCAACATCTGCCTGCGCGAGGTTACGCAAACGAAAAAAATATTCTTGAGAACTTTCATGTGAAAAATGGTGCTCGCGCGATAATGTGAATTTCAATGTTAAAAAGGGGCTTATTGTTATCGAGGAGGTTATTCCATTTATTTTCTGCCTTGCTGCTAAAATCGCTGAAAGCGTCGCTCGCGCGGCGTTCCGCATGGCGCGTATCGTCTGTTTTTTTTTTTTTCGTTGTCGAAAAAGACAACCGCGATTTCACACGCGCTTCGGCTGTTAATGGACAGCCGGAGACTGTCGAGAGGGCACAATGGGTTGCAAAAGTGATTTAACGGTATATCGTAATGCAGTCTATAGTTTTCGGTTCGTTAGCGATCGTGCGACCGCACGCGGATTTGCTTTGGTGGAAATTACTGCGCTCCCTGGCACAATCAACTCATATATTATTTGTAAATTATGGTTAATGATTATCATTATCTTCGATTCAGATGTAACTAATGTTACATTTGCAACACTAATATATGCTGTCCATTATTCATGAGGCCTCGAAATAATATCACTGTGGCCGGCCCGCACATCTCAGCGTGATCGAGTGCATCGAATTGATGTTATAATATAATAACAAAATCATTTCCTCTTTGGTTAGCGCAATTTTGCAAGTGTCGCGCGCGAGATATTTTTCGCTAATTATCGTCGATCGCGTCATTTGTGGAAAGTCGGGTGTAAGGAATATGTTATGTGATGTAATGTTACGCCGACCGCGCGTCGCAGAGCGGGAGCATCGAACGCGCGAGGTTTTGACATCTGTTCGATTTTGCGTAGAAGCTGCACAAAGTATCGTTCACGTAGCAACGTCGACGCGTTTCCCGCGATAACAAATATTTTGATATCGCTAGTATTAATGGCGGCTCAACTGGCGTTGAAGCGCGGCCGTGGAATATATTTCCGCTCGACTCGCGTCCATTACGCAACCCTGAAAGACCATCGACGCGACCTATCGGCGGTAACATTACCGACCATGCAGCAACAGCAGCAGCAGCAGCAGCAGCAGCAGCAACCGTCGTCGTCGCGACCCCATATTCCACCCCCGCGGGGGGCGCGCCGAGGGTTGCGTGGTAGAAGCGCGGTAGGGTGGGTAATGTCGGGAAATGCAGCTAACGAAGTTTACGAAGACACTTAACGGAATTACGCCCTCGCTCGCAGTGGTGCCCGCCGTCGCTCTGTCGCCCCCGCGCGTCGCTTGCGCGCGCGCGCGCGCGCGCTCGCCCGCTCGCGAGTGCCACCCCGTCCAGCGAGTACACCGAGCGTCCCTTTACACTTTTCCGGCGGCAGGGAGGTCGCGTTAATTACCGACAGAGGCAAGAAATCGGGGAACGGTGGCGAGATATCTCGTCGTCGACGCTCGACGGTGGTTACGAAAGTCGGCTATGAGGACGGACGGGGGTTGTCGACGACGCGGGGGGTGCCGGAAGTGGGAGCGGGTGGAAGGGGTCGGTTTGCGCCGAAGAAGGGTGTTATTGACATGGTGGGTGTCGCGTCGTCGGCCATCTTGGGCCGCCGCGGTCTCCCCGCCGTCACCACCTCCTCCTCCTCCCCCCTCTTCCTCCTCCTTCTCCTCTTCCTCCTCTTCCTCCTCCTCCTCCTTCTCCTCCTCCTCCTCCTCCTCCGCCGCCTCCTCCTCCTTCTCCTCCTCCTCCTCCTTCTCCTCCTCTTCCTGCTCCTCTTCCTCGTTCTCGTTCTCCTCTTCCTCCCGCCGCTACCCTCTTCGTCGCATTCGCTCTGCTCCCCGTCGCGTCCGAAGGACATCCTTGTGTCCCCTTGCCGAGTGACATTCGGGCTGTGTGCCCAGCCTAACCTGCCCGGCGGACGCCCTGGGCCACCCTTTTCGACCAACCCCGGCAACGAGCTGCGAGGGTCCCGGGGGCTGCTTGTCGCCATGGCGACCGAACCCTCGCCCAACCCCCTCGACCAAACGCCGATTCCTATCCCTCGGCACTTCGCGACCCTCTTCCACCCCTTCCTCGTCGCCCGTTTCGCGCTGTCGTTCTCTCGTCGCCAGAGAAAGAGTCTTTCGATATCCTCGTGCGCTTCTCTTTTGATGGACCGACGGGTCCTCGCCTCTTTCGACTTTCCACGTGTTTCCTTTGTCTCGCTCCACCGCCGCCTCTCTTCGTCTTCTTCGACCCTTCCGCCGTCCGATAGCTAAACGGCAATTCTCAATTTTCCGAATTTCCGTCGTCTTCTTTGTCCCGCCCTCGTGGCCTCCCTTCGCGGCGACGCTTCCCTTCTATTGTTACTCTCGGACATCCTCGAATTTTTGTTTGCTTAGTGCTTGTCGCGCTCTCGAGCCAAATGTGGTCTCTGCAATCCTCATCGATATGAGTTTCGCTGGCGTTGCTTCTTCCTCTCGGTGCTCTTCGCCCCTTCTCGATCTCCATTACTTCTAATTACTTTTGTTACGATCCCCCGTTGTTCGTGTACAACTATCGTATTGTTTTATTAAGCTCAATATTTTTGCCCTCAAGTGAAGTAAATTACATCTGGCCGAGTTTGTTTTTGCAAGCTCGAACCTGTGAATTTGCACTTTTTACGTTCCGCATGATAAATGCATGGAATGTAGTTTTAAATCTGTGAGTATTTTTTTCCAAGGCATTTAATATTCCAGGAGCGTGCCTTTATACGACTGTGAAATTTTTCACGAATCCGTACGTTCGGAAAATTTTAGTTCCGAGTCGCGAAATACATATTTCGGTTGGGTCATCATCTGCTTGTACAACGTCGATATCAATGAAAGTCTGTTCCTGCGTCGACGGACAGATATGGGCAAGCAGTTGACAATTAATAAATTTTTCGCATTAGTGTGTCGGAAAGAATATATTGATGCTTCGTGCGTTCTACTCCATCCTGAACTCGCGGCTACGGTATTACGCAAATCTAATAGCCCGCTTCGAAGCGTTCGCAAAAAAGATACCACGTCCGGTGGTATCTGAAATTGGTTGGTGGCGGCATTAATTCCGCTAATTATATCGAAGAGCCGATCTCTCGAGAAACTCCGTTCGCCTCTTCCTTTTGTCGGAGACCCTTTATCAAACATTCTCGAAGGCACAAAGTTGCCCCACGGAATTGGCGGATATTAGGTAGGACTTCGCCGTGGCTTTTGTCTCGTTCGGCCACAAAGTTTCGCGAGGCACCACAATCCTGACCAATTAGCGACGATTTCCTAAATCAAGACCGTAACCGCGGGCTAATTGGCACTTGACATTCAACTTACTCCTACGTTTGTCGCGAGAAACTCTTAAACCTCAATCATCGATGACAAATACACGAATTAATTGTACGGCTCGATCGAAGGAGCCGCCAAAAGCTTTGAAGTCTCGAGTCCGTTGTATTGCTCTCTCTCTCTCTCTCTCTCCTCCCCCCTCTCTCTCTCTCTCTCTCTCTCTCTGTCTCTCTCTCTCTCTCTCTCTCTCTCTGTCTCTCCCCTTTGTCGTTGCCGTTTTAAGAATTTTTACACGGATGCTTTGCATTTTTAACGTCGACACCGTTAATTGTCCGTGCATTCTCGAGCACCAGAAATTCGCAGAATTTCACAGCGAGAACAACTACGCAGCTATGTGATATTGTGCGGTTTTCAAAGCGCGACGAACGCGAGAATATCCGCGATCTTTATTCGACCTCCCACTGATCATCTGAGATCTCGCGAATCAGGCGTCCGTGTGAAAAACACTCGTCAGGGCAACAGAGTATCGACATTTCAATGGTGTATCGAGAGGTATTTTAAGCATCTCTTCGGTCTGAGACGTGACGGGTTGATGGGCGATCGAATAAACTCGACGGCGACGACTCGGTGGTTGTCGCGCTCGCCATGCAGCTGCATTGCGGCAAAACAGAAGACGTCTGTCATCGGAGACGAGATCCGTGGGAGACGCATCGGAATGCAATTCCGTAAATGCGCAACGTGGCGTCCATTCGGGCCGTCTGCACGCGGCCAGCTGCGGCTTTAAAATAGCGCTCACATCCGAGCGGAGGACGAGTGTGGGTGGCACCTGATCAGCGGAATGACAACGATCCGATTAATTAATGGGTCGGGCTGGAAGCGCCGCCGATATTCATACGACGACGACGACGATAATTATAAGGATCACGGGTCCGGAAACGTGTCGAGCGAAAAGAAAAGAGAAGAATCGCGTTCTTTATGCACGCGAATCAACTGTTTATTCAGTATATAGTGAAAACGAGAGAAAGGGAGAAAAAGAGATGGAACGAGAGCGGCGGTGGCGGTGGGTGAAGAGGAGGAACAGGAGGAGGAGGAGGGGGTGGAAGAGGAGAATCCAAGTGAGAGGGATGGAGGGAATGCAACAGCAAGCGCGAGTGATCGACATGAAACGAGTTCATTCATGCTTGGATGTTGTAATTCTGAATGGACGTAGAATGGATCGAAGCTGGCGCACGATTAGATTGTATTGTATTGTATGTGTGTGTGTGTGTACGTGTGCGTGTGTACCGGCTTTATATGTATTTTTCATTTCATGTGAACGAAGAGCTGACTTTTATTTCGGAGTCGCATCAATGATCGCGCTCTCGAGCAAAACCACAAGTCTCTCAAATCGTAAATTTAACCGCACGATTCTTGATCGTCCTCGACGATCCTCAGCGATGTCGAGCACAATCCTCGCGTGGAGCGCAAAATGTGCGACGTAAGATCAGAAAGTGTCATATTTAATAAACGCGGTCGACTCGATGTTCACCTCAGTAGTCGCGAAATTCGCTGACATGCGAGACGTCCAGGTGAAAGATTCCAGTCGCCAGTCATTCGATGACTCGCGTGAAAATCCGGGCGAAGTTAAAAGGGCGTCTCTTGCTCTCAAGGGTGCGATAACTTTCAGCGCCGACTGTATCGCTGGATGATACATCCCCCGGGGGTTTTCTCCCCTTGGGTGTTAGGGTATGTTTCGTTGCCTAGCAACGACATCCTCGAAGTCCGCGCTCTGATTGGCCCCATCTCGCTTTTCTTGTCTTAGCCTCTCTTTTCACCCCCATCGCCAATCAGGCCCCCTTCGCCCATGCCATAACCACCCCATATCTATCTACTTACTTACTTACTTACCTACCTATCTACCTACCTACCTATCTACCTACCTACCTACCTACCTACCTACCTACCTACCTACCTACCTACCTACCTACCTACCTACCTACCTACCTACCTACCTACCTACCTACCTACCTACCTACCTACCTACCTACCTATCTACCTACCTACCTACCTACCTACCTACCTACCCACCTACCTACCTACCTACCTACCTACCTACCTACCTACCTATCTACCTACCTACCTACCTACCTACCTACCTACCTACCTACCTACCTACCTACCTACCTACCTACCTACCTACCTACCTACCTACCTACCTACCTACCTACCTACCTACCTACCTACCTACCTACCTACCTACCTACCTACCTACCTACCTACCTACCTACCTACCTACCTACCTACCTACCTACCTACCTACCTACCTACCTACCTACCTACCTACCTACCTACCTATCTACCTATCTACTTACCTACCTAACATCTACCATATCGCCGATGGAACTTGTCGTCCTCGCGGCGAAATGCACACACAACGCGATGCGTCCACACGAACAAAATGCAAAAAATTAAAGAAAGTTTTATGTAACGGGGCGCAACGTTTCACACATGGATTTCGTGTGACGAAGAGCGATAAGCGACACACAACTAACGGAGATTTATTTTCTCGTGCTGGCTTCATGATACGCGCGCGATATCAAACGAGAGAAATACGACGATGTGGGCAAAGCGTTTTCGACGTGTGATTGCGTTTGTTCGGCTAAACTTGATCCTTTCGCGCACAAATAATTCTTCCCGACGATAATTTTTTATATTTTTTACACGGAGAGAATTTTTCTGGAAGCTATTAACACACCCATATTATTTAAAACGTTTGAAAATATTGTGGGAGACTGCTTTACGTATGGTATAAATGTTCATATTGTAACGTTGAAAAGATATCCGAACAAGCTTTTAATCGTTGCAGTATATAAATCTAGACCTCGATATGAATATATCTCAATTTCACGATGCAATGTGCGATATATATTATTATTATTATAAAAAAACTTCATCTCTCTCTCTCTCTCTCTCTCTTTCTCTTTCTCCCGTGATATCATGAATAAGAAGCTGCGAATGAACTGTCTTCCTTAATATTTCTCCTCGGCGTCGTCGATTAACGTTTTGGTCTAATAAAACCAGCGCCGCGTAATAGACGGCCGGGCTTTTATTTGCCGTCGCAATACGATTACGAATAAACGACCGCTTCGTCGGCCGATGTCATTGAGAGTCATTTCTATTTTTGCGGCTCTGTAAATTGTACGAAAGGATTAAGGAAGCGATTCTACGCCGGTTTTCTTTTCAATGCCTCCTTCAAGTAGCCGGCTTGTTGTCGAGGCTGCAGCGCTGCGAGAGAGGATTAAGCTTCCCTATTGATCTCGCTCAATAGATCCGTGCCCTTTCGCGTGCCAGCACTTGTAATGTTTTGACATCCTTTACGCTTGTAACGCGTCGCTCTCTTCCTCAACGTTCCTCGAGCGCGCGTCCCGATGTCTCCGACTTAATAATAATCGATAATGCAACAATATATTAATATCGGCCATGAGAAATCCGTTGAAAAACATCAACGATCTGTCTATGTTTATTTAATAGAGAACTTGTGGTGCGCTGAAAACGACGCTTCTTGCACTTTACCCGTTAACACAGACGACAAAGCTTGCGATAGAACACTGGTCAAAAGGTAAACAAGTCATATACGACACTCGAAACGTCTTATCTGTAGAAAGATAAGAAATAACGGCATTAAAGTACTTTATGTTTATTGCAGAAATACTCGACTGCCGAGAATATTCTACGGCACGCGGACACACAGGCAAGTCGAGCAAGTAGTCAGAGAATTGAAAAAGACCGCGTACAAGGATAAAAGGTAAAGAAAATTTGCTTGAAATATCAAATAATACTAAAAAATATCGTTCTGTGAGATCGATGTATAAAGACTGGGAGAATTTGTAGGATGACCATATTGAGTAGCCGGGAGCACACGTGTATTCAAGATACGAACAGGAACAAGACCGAGCTCTGTAACGAGCTGCTCGATCCTAAAAAGGTTTTTCTTTAACGTTACTCGTTACAATCGCAAAGTAAAAAGCGTTGAGCAATCTATAACTGCATTATATGTACAAAATATATATATAGAAAAAAAATATATATACATACATGTGTATCTTTTTCTCTGCTCACAGCTCACCAAATGTAAATATTACAACGAACGAAATAAAAAAGAGATAGCGTCGTTTGAGGCAGTGGAAGATCACGGATTGAAGACTCCTTGGGACATTGAAGATTTCGTCGGGTTGGGCAAGCAGGTCGGAGCCTGCCCGTATTTCGCAGCCAGATCTTTGATGGCTGATGCGGAAATCATCATGTGTCCCTACAATTATCTAATCGACCCGAATATCCGCGAGAGCGTAAGTGTCGTGAGTTTACACACTAAGTACAAGCAATCTGTCGGAGGGGCTATGCATTTTATTGTATTTAATAATAATTGCAACAATAATAACAATAATAATAATGATAATAACAATAGAACCGGGTCTTAAAAGCATACCGCAGATCGCTTCCGTCGTTTTCTTCTTCGTCGATGGTGTTGAGCGGTAGATCGCGAAATTCATGTGCAGATGCAGATCAACCTGAAAAATGACATTGTGATACTCGACGAGGCTCACAATATCGAGGATTTTTGTCGGGAAGCCGCCAGTGTGGACATAAAAGATGTCAATCTCATCAGTGCTTCCAAGGAGTGTGAGAAACTCTCACATTTACGCAATGTTAATAAATATATGTACATCACTATACATTCGTATCTCCAGGACCTTGTAAATTTCCTCCAAAATGTCGACGTTAAGGAAGTTTCGAATGTAGGTATTTCTAAAGCGGCTGATTGTGTCGCTCTTATATAATTTGACGTATGATCGGGATTATTTGCCAATTTATTAACATATAAATCGCCAAATTTTGCTATTCTCTTCAAATCCGCTAACAATATATGTATGATCTAAGGACAACCAGCAAGGAATGGTCAGTGAACAATGGCTCGGCATGGATTTCCTCATATTGCTCGACGTCGACAAGATCGGACGTTCCAGATTCCCCAATTTTTCCGCCGCTAGTAAGGCAGCCATTGAGGACTTCAACGACATAACGGAAAGGCTTTCCGAAAGATCCATACCCACCATTTCACTCGAGACTAAAATAGTCCTCGAATTGCTCTGTTTCGTCATGGAAAAGATGACATCGGATATATTCGTTAACGACTACAGAGCTTATGTTGTGGAGGCAGAAGAGTTTAAGACGACAAATACAAAAGTAAGTGAATGTTATTCGAGTAACTCTTGATGTCACTGTCATCACCATAATATTATCCAACCTCCAGGCGCAAGAAGACACTTGGATCTCGAGAAACAAGCGTGAACGAGTGCGAACGTTGAAACTGGTATGCATGAATCCTGCGGTGGTTTTCGAGCCGTTATCCCGCATCACCCGCTCGGTGATACTCGCTTCGGGCACATTAGCACCGACTTCGTCGTTCGAAAGCGAACTTGGAACACGATTCCCGCACAAGCTCCACGCCAATCATATCATACCAAGAGAACAAGTGTACGTGAGATGCATACCACGAGGACCGAATGGTGAATCTTTGCTGGCCAACTACAAGAACGTCAACTCGTGGTCTTTTCAGGTGACGACATACATTGCTCACTATCTCGTTCTACTCGTTGTTTCTTCTGTGACATTGTATCGGTATGTTGTATATTATATGCGGAAAACTATTTAACGATGAATTTTGTAATCACAACAGGATGAGCTTGGTAAACTGATTGTTCAAGTGTGCGACGCAATACCGTATGGTGTATTGTGCTTTTTCTCATCTTATTCTGCAATGAATAAGATTCACATGAGATGGAAGGATATCGGTATTTGGGCTAAACTCGCGGAACTGAAGGAGATTTTCGTAGAGCCGAAGGAAAACAGAGAACTACCCGAGATTATGAGAGAATACAGAGAAGTAATTAAAGAATCGTCATCGAAATCCTTCCGGGAAAGATCCGGAGCTATTTTGTTTGCAGTCTTCAGAGGCAAAGTGGCAGAAGGAATTGATTTCAGCGACAATGAAGCACGATGCGTATTAACAGTGAGCAGTGATTCCATTTTATGAGTTAGCTGCTAATGTGTATACGCGTATAAAACGTGTAATCCTATAACTTTATATTGCATTAGGTCGGCATACCGTTCACCAGCATAAAAAACGTAGCTGTGGCCATGAAGAAAGATTACAATGATTCAAATATGTCTAAGGGATTGCTATCCGGCTCAGAGTGGTATACTATTAACGCGTTCAGGGCGTTAAATCAAGCACTTGGTCGTTGCATCAGGCATATAAACGATTGGGGAGCAGTATTGTTGGTTGATGAGAGGTAAGTAGCAGAAGTGAAAGCGTTCATTCCTGAAAACGAATAAAAATCTTCATTAAAGAAATTTTTATAGATTTTTACAAAGACCAAAAAACGCGGACTATCTGCCAAAATGGATTAAAGAAATGGTGAGTTCCAACATATTGAAACATGTTACCATGTTATGATGAGATGATATTTATGATGTTTCAATTTTGCAGCAAAATAAATGTAATATAAAGGATAATCTAAAAGTAGAACTCGAAAACTTTGTAGCAAGACAAGTGGCACGTGAAAAAGGAAGAAGATATCTTGAAGAAAAAGCAAGACTTGTACCAAATTTCACGCAAGATTTATACAAAACATAAGTCTGTAGGACTTTTTAAATTAAAAAGTTAATTAAGTTGTTTTATTAAAAGGAATTAAAGTGACATAATAATTAACAATATACACTCAATGTGATATTCTCACGTATATATTGTGTGTTACACTTGAGCGTTACACTTTTGTTGTGTCTCTCTTTTCAATCATTCGTAATTGTTTCTTTTTCATTCTTTTTATTTTTGCAGTATTTGTAATCTGGAAATAATGGTAAAGAAATTTTAAATATACAAATATTATATTAACAAATATATATAGAAATATATGTATTTTAAAAGTAACAATAGAAAGACTTACAACTTGTACAACTTCACTTTTCTTTCTATTCTCTTCAGCTCTCTTTAAGTTTTCTCTTCTTCGTTGCTTCTTTGCTTCTTTTTCCTCATGTTTTTGTGCCTTAATGGCTCTTGACATTTGCTTAACACGTTTCAGATCTTCTCTCAACTTTTGTTTCTTAGCAAATGATAACCGAATTCCACGTGTTTTGATTATAGAAGAAAATCTGTAAATGTGAGATGTTTTATATATTTTAGATGTAAAAACTAATTAGAAGAAAAGTTGAACACTTAATGTTATTAACTGTAACTTACTTCGTTTTCTGTTCTTTCCATACCCTACCAGATTTTGGTTTGCCCCTTGGAATATGTAGTTTCTCGCGTTCCTTTTCTGAGTCAACCTGTTTTGAGATATGCTTCTGATGCGTTATTGATGGTTCTCTTTCTATTGAATCCACGTTACTATTTATCGTATCAGACATATTTGGTAATCTTTCTTCGTTGACACTGTTCATTGTTGAACGTCAATAAAACACCCAATTGTACAGTTCTTTTCGCGTGTAAATAATACTTCTAGGTTATTTTGTCACATGGCCATGTCGCATTGTCGCATAAGAGCGGACAACAGCTGCAACTTAATCGGAGTTGTCCTGTACACTACATTATCAACGCACATAGGATAAAAAAAATAGTTAGTGGGACATAAGTATATAAAATAGTATAGGAATATTTGTACGTGTGCGTGTGTGCAAAAAGAATATAATATAAATAAAAGAAAAATATTCAAAAGTCATTTCTATTTAACAATAACTTGTTTTCCATTTTTTTCTTTTTTTTCTTTCTCGAAAATGTTATAAAATTTAAATATGTTTATTATTTATTTTATTTTTAATTTTTAAATATAAAATTCTTTTGTACTTCTTTCCAAGAACTTGATTGGTGAAGGATTTAAGTCTATACTAAGTGGTTTGCATCTTAGCTAAGATCTATTTCTATCATTAGTTCTGAAGTCTTCGCTACGAGTCTCCACTGTCTTGAACAAAGAATACTCAATAATAAAAGAGCTAGGCTTTTATTTTCAAATTTAATAATATGGTAGGGGAATATTGCATTTTTAAATAATATTCGACAATTGTTTAGCTATTTTTATTTCCAAATTTTATAATATATAAAATTAGTCAAGAGATATTTTTCATTTTCAACTTTTATATCTCAACTCATGTCCATATTCTCTGGTGTTGCATGTAGAATCTGTTGCTCCGATATATAGCCTTTTAAAGGTTGAAACACGTGGGCAAATTAACAATTGTGCAACTAACCTGTGTTAATCTAATAATGGAATCTCTGCAAGCAATTGCTGAGTATTTAAATTGTAATACTCGATTGGACTTGAAAGCTGTTGCATTGAATTATGTACTTGGTAACTATTTATATATTTTAATTATATATGGAAATATTCTATATATATGCATGTGTGTAAAAATATTGTCTGTACTTTATTGTTTTTTATTATTTTTTAATTATACAGATTATTTACTATTTGAAAGATGAATGATAAAATTGAATTGTATTGATAAAATTTCTCATACACAGGTATGACAGCTACTAGTGATGGTCGAGAGAGCTTGTTGGGACTAGCAGAAATATTGAAGCAGCTTGTTATTCTCACACAAGATCCGTCGATTCCTGTTAGCAAGGATGCTATGTCAGCATTAGTCAATATTACTGGGGACGAATCAGGAACTAATGCATTGTTGATTATTTCAGAGTCAAGCAATTCTACAAATATACAAGAATATAGTTCCAATTTAATAGAAATTTGTATAAAGTAATTATAATTATATATTTTATATTAATTCATATTCCACAGTTCACAGCCATATATTGAAATATACAATAATATGTATTATCTTACAGAGCCATAATGGATAAGACCAGTGTTTTGGCAGATCCATGTTGTATGATACTTTCCAATATGACTAGGCCTTTTCATTTGGTTGACAGAGTGATAACATTGATTGAACAATGCGGTTATACCTGGGATGAAATAGTGGCTGCATTTACTGCAAAGCAATATAATAATGCAGGTGCTAAAATGCATTATCTTGGGCCAGTTTTCAGCAATCTCAGTCAGTCGCCACATGTAAGAAGGTATTCAGTTGAGTGTTTCATTGAATCTTTACGAATTTTTTTCTCAATCATGTCCCACGGATTCATGTATTTTGTTTCAGGTACTTGATGGATCGAGACCATTGTGTTATTCAACGGCTATTTCCATTTACAGAGCATCCTGATACAATAAGACGCGGCGGTATCGTTGGTACTTTAAAAAATTGTACGTTCGGCACAGAAAATCATGAATGGCTGTTAAGTCCAGAAGTTGATTTATTATCGTATCTGTTGCTGCCACTTGCTGGTCCAGAAGAGTTTGATGATGAAGATAACGACAAACTACCATATAATTTGCAATATCTGCCTGAAACGAAGACTCGAGAGCCTGATCCAGATATAAGGTAAGTCATATTCGATATGCTGATATATGTTTCATAGACCTTGTGAAACAAGAAAATCTATTAATATCATTATGTCATATTATTTTAGACTTATGCTTTTGGAAGCGTTGAATCAACTCTGTGCAACAAAAGCAGCTAGGGAGATATTAAGAGGAAAAAATACATACATCATACTTCGGGAATTTCATAAATGGGAGAAGGACACAAATGTCTTATTGGCGTGTGAAAACGTCGTAGACATTTTGATCAAGTAAATATTTGAATAAAATATACTTAATGTTCCTTTCTGTACATGTGAGATATAAAAATGTATATTTGTTCATTACAGAACCGAGGAAGAGATCGGCTTGGATAATTTGAAGGAAGTGGAAGTACCCTCCGAGTATACGAAGAAATTTCATAAGATGGATAAAGACTTTATTAATAAGACGGTGTAAAATTTTACATAATATATATATATAATGTTCTGTAAATATTGTATACAATATACATAATACTTACTCAATGCAAACCTACCGTAAAAATGGTATATGTGTTGTAGCACATTCGGTAGTTTGCATATCGCCTGTCGTATTGCACTGCCCCGTTTCATTACGTAATGATAAGCTATCAGGTCCAGCGTAGCGATGAAAAGAGAAATCTAATAGCCTGATCTTTCAATAATAGTATGAGTTCGAACACCGGTATTCGAAATTGAAACAGTCACATGTGCAGCGTAATTAGTAATTCCAATTTCCTATGACTTACACGCTAAGGTCAAAATAAAACAGGTACGCGTAAATAGTTGCATATTTCGTGTGTCGATAGACACGACTAATGAAATCACGATATGTTTATGAAGGATACTTTTCTCGATCGTAACGCGAATGGCAGAATGTCTAGATGTGTACGTGTATGTGCGTGTTGCAGTATTAAATATTGAATATTTGAGTACTTGCAGATAATTCAAGCGGCTCTATCAGGGTAAATAACCCAATCCAGCCTCGAGACTGATCGAACTTCTTATGCTCGACGCGTTACTAGCCCTTCTGGAGATTCTATTGGTCTCCCCTGCGCCGAAGACCGCAGCGATTTCCGCGCTCTTCTTTATGGAGAGCGCCTCGTGATGCGCACCGGATCTTCCGTTGCCACGAGAAGAATACTTCTTGTCTCTCTCCGCGCCGCCGACGTAAACCAAACGACCTTGAGTGTCCCTAGCGCTAACGACAAGGACCTTCTCGCTGCCGGACGACTGCTGAGACTTCCTTCCTGGACTGAAGAGATCGTAATCTAAAGCTAAATTGTCCGAACTGCCGCAGGCTGGCGATGATTGATTCTGAAGCAGAATTCGCGCGAGCAACATTTTAACGCAAGCTCATCAGAGCTGAACCAGCGACTGGTACACGTAGAGAAGAGATTGCTTGAATCAGCACAACACAATCAACAGACCAATCGCGTATTGCTTGGCAGGAAATAGAATTCCCGGCTCTCACAACCGAATTTGGCCCCTGAGAAGCAGAAATTCCGTTCCCTTCAACCAATAACGCGTGTTTGGTTCGTTCATCGACACGTTGACTCGACCAGTCCTTCCTTCGCCATGTTAGGGTCGGTTGTCCCAACTTCTTGGTAAGTTAATTGGTAGTTAAATCATATGTTCGTCTTTGTTTTTCTTTCAACTTAGCCAAAAACAGAGATATGATTTAATCATCAGTTAACTTACCAAGAAGTTGGAACAACCGGCCCTTAGTCAGCGCGATGCTTTTCGCTTCAGCTACCTTGAGAAAGTCCGTGTTATGCGACGAGCTGTGACTACCGGTCATCCTCGAGCCCTTGATCCTGTCGGGACTGTCGCCTCGGCTGAGCGTACTCTCCGAAGGCACGATTCCCTTTTGCCTGAGTTGCTCCAATATCGTCGGCTGAATCGGCTTCCTCGCGCAGTAACACTTGTTACTCTCGGAGCAGCTGTCCGTATCGCAGGCGCAGACAACCGTGTTTTCAGGTACAGAGGTAGCCGGCACTCTCCTCGATAACGAGCAGTAACACTTGTCCGCGGACACGCAGGTGCACGACTCGGAATCGTAGCTGCACTCGCTGCAACTCACGTATCCGCTGCTGCTCCTGTTCGCGGTGGCAGCCATACCGCGACTCAATCGTCTACCTGTATAGTTGAACAACATCAGGACGCTCCAATTCCAACCGTGTAGAGCGTCGGGAGCGTGGGATGGGACGAAACCGGCGATTTGCCCGTTCTCGACACTCTTGCGCGAATTTCATCATCAAACATTGAATCATGCACGGGTATTTATTAATTATTCATTAATTATTTATTTTTTCTTAATCACCGTGCATCCTGATACTTGATAAAATCCGCGCAGAAGTGAGCTAATTTGCACGACGAAAATAACTTTTTAATTTTCTACATACACGTGTCACTGTCTTCCGAGGTCGTGTGACATGCCCCGGTTTTGCTCTTCCGCCAGGAAGACTTCCTCTTGCCGAGTCTGCTCGCCAACACTCGGTTCCGATGATTGTTTCTGACGTCGCACGACGAGCTGCTGCCGAAACTGTCGTTCAGTCTTCTCGCTGGGAATATGACGGACGTGAATTCCGTAGGACCGCCTTTCAGCCTCGAGACGGATCTCTTGATGGCTCTGCCCAGCAAGCAGGACCGACGGCTGGATCGCCGTCTCTGCGGTCGCCGACGTCTTCTCATGATACTGGCGGACCTCTGGTACAGTTCGTCCTGCGTCAGCGTCGCGGCCAGTTTCAGCAAGAATTCCTTGTAGAGTGGCTTCAGGTCGTTGAACGACATACCTTCAGGGTCTGAAAGTTTTTACAATTATATCTATATGATTTATGTTATTGTAACTTGTATTGTATGTAACATCTAATTATACATTATAGGTGAATACCTATAATGGCTGCCAGAATGTCGTCCACGCTGGTCAACCCCTCCTGATTCCTGAACTCGTCGAACAGTTCCGTGAACCCTAGCGGTGTGCCTCCCTTGATATTGTTAGGCCTCCGGGTACTTCCGGAGGTCAAGAAGCTGCCTCTTCTCGGCAGCTCGACCCTCGTCATCAGGTCTCCCCGATCTACGTCGATGTCGCTCTGCGTCCGCCTGAGTCCGTTCTCTTGCAAGACCTTGCTGGTGTTCTCCGAATGGCTGACCGGCGGCTCGCTGCCCGCTCTACTTCGTCTTCTCATCCGAGGACGGCTGTACTCCGGCATGTCGAGCGAGTAAGCGGCATCTGATTGGTCTTTCTTCAGAGGCTTATCCATGGTGACGACTCGGCTGACTCTCTTGCCGGAGTACACCTTCTCCGGGTCTCTCGAGCGTCTCTGCTGACCCGCCGTGCCGTCGTCCTTGGGCTGTTCCTGATGCGACTGATAGCGTTCGTTACTCTTCGAGCTCTTCGCGAAGAACACGTCCTCCTGGCAGCTTTTCACCTGACCCCGATCGTCCCTGCTGCTCTTTGTCGTGTAAACGTCCTCCTTCCCGAGACTGTAGATCTTGTCGGCGTCTTCAATGCGTGTGTTGTAAATGTTTTCTTTCTTCCTGCCGGCTGGCTCATACGTCGCAGGATTCGGCCCTTCGTTCCTTCCGGCCTTGTCGATCCTGTCGTACAAGAGAACGCAATCGGTCCTGGAGGAGTACAACTGTCGTTCGCAAGCGACGTTCTCGGCGCTCGCGCGACTCAGGTCGTACGACCCGTAATTGCCGGACTCGTAAACATCGTCCTTCAGATCAGCCGGCTCCTTCTGCGGGCTGTTCTGCTTGCACATCTTCTCATACTTGTTCGACCGCCTGTCGAAAATCCCGTTCGCTTCGTTATCCCGGCCGCTGTACATCTTCTCGGTTTTCGCGCTGGACTCGATCAGTATCCGCAGCGAGTCCTTCGCGGAGAACAGCTTGTTCCTCGAATTCTGCAGCTCCTCATCCCTCGACAGCACGATGTCTCGATTACTTTGCCCCAAACTGCCCTTGTCGATCTTCACGTTATCTCGTTTCCTTCCACGCGCTTCGAGAATGTCCTCCGCCTTCACGTCGGAGTTTTTCTTCTTCCTGCGAGGTACCTTCTGCAGACTGGGCTTCGCGCCCTCCTCCTCCGTGACGGAACTGCTGACGGACGTCTTTTTGGTTCGGGGTGGCCTCACAGGGTGCGGCGCGGTTGGCCTTGGCGGCGGAGGTAGCAAATAGCTGATCCTGCTGCTCAGACTAGGCTCTCGGACGCTGGAGACGACGGACGCTAGACTGATGCAGCCGACGCCGTTCGTGTGACGGGGTCGTCGGCGATTCGCGTCCAGGTCGGCCAGAAGAGCGCGGTACAGCGTCGCCGCGGCTGCCACGGCATCTTCTTCGGACTCGCAGGCGAACGCGTGGCATTCCAAGAGCCTGGCAGCCCCGGGCCGTCGCATCACCACTGCGAAGATCGGCGGATAGAACTCTACGTCACTCTTCAAACCGCGCATTGTCCTGAAATTGAATATTAACATTGCGCGTCTCAACGTAACATTACTGTTTTCAAATTCACGCTCGCGAGCACGTTTTAAATAAAAGTACACAAGCGGACGTATGAGAAAGCCTATATGCGAGGGGGGGGGAGGGAGAGAGAGAGAGAGAGAGAGAGAGAGAGAGAGAGAAAATCCGGAGACTCGGGAAATCAAGGAACGAGTACATCGTTGCTCATACCTGTAGAGATCGGCATGTCTGTCTTCCATCGTCTGTCCCTGATCCTGATCGCCGACCAGAGGCAGGAAAGCATGATGCAGGTCACCCGATGGCACTCTCTTGCATCGAAGCCTTAGGGCACTCCATACCGCTATCCTGCGGAAAGGATTGTTCTTTTCGCAGACCTCGCTGGTGCGGAACGTCAAGCCGCGTCTGGAGACCTCCAGCTCGGCCCTTATGCAGCCTTGCATGCGCTCCAACAGCTGACGAAGAGGCTCCTGAAGACCACGCACGCTGGCCACGCGCCCGCCGACCGGAGCAGCTCCCATGTACTTTACCTGGTAAATAAATAAATAAATAGCACAACACGTCATTTATGGGTATGAGGTACATAAGTAAACGAAACACGTGAAAATAAAATAAAAATAAGTCGAAAAAAATAGATATGCTTTAGTTTGACTAAATAAGGTAATTCAATGGTACATTCGACGACGAAACTTGAATATATATTAGCGTAAAACAGGACTTTTATTTATTACAGAGAATTTCATCGCAACCACCACGAGAAGGTGAGACGCGTGTTCGTAAAAATAGCGTTTGACGAAAAAGTCAGTGGCGTTCCTTTCATTTATCTTTTTTTTTTTTATTTCAGTCTAAAACCGGTGAGAAGAAACCTGTTCTATTTGATAAATGGCATTATCGAAGATCACGCAGGATCGTAATACAGAGACTTTATTGTGCATCTTAGGCGCGATAAAGTTCTCTAAAACTAGCGGAGGAATTTTACAGCGTCATTTCATTCGCTGGCATTTTAATATATGCGTGTTCTACGGAATAAAATTCTGATATCCCGCGTAAAGGTGTTTTTTGTATATTTTAGGTTCTTAAACCGCGCGTCGCAGTTAACGAGATCTTATTTTCTCGCTGAAGCGACAGCGCTCATCCTTACCTGTCGTCAATGAGACCCGACGATTCGACTACTACGGTAAACATCGAGCAAACGCAGCTTCAGCCACAGGGGGAATACGAGAGAGAGAGAGAGAGAGAGAGAAGCCAATGCTCTCGAAATACGAGTAACAGACAGAGTTGCTGCCAGATCATTGTGATCTACTGCCACGCCTAAGCGAGTTTTCGCGTGACGCAATCCGGCCGATCAATCGCCAGCCTCTTTCGCGATCGAAGCGTTATGCGAAGCGAGGTGAAACAACGCGCGCGCGGCGTCGCAAAGCCCACAAAGCAGGATACCGTGTCGACGGAGGAATCCGCATACCGGCGCAACAACTGAAGGGGAATTTTTCAGCGCTCCGAATAGTTTGTGGAGGTCTGTCACGCTTCGCGAGTCGTGAGCGGAATGAAAGTGATGATTAGATTCCAGATCGACGCCCGAGGAAAGTCCGAGGTCTTTTCGCGACCCTTTTTCTCGCGCTCGCGTTTCGGCGCTCGCTATCGCGAGTTTCTTCCTTTCGCGTTTTTCGATCGTCGATGCACGGAACGCAGGCTCTAAATTTCCGGAAAAGTCACCGAAGTGTTTGCAGGATTCCTTTTGCTGCGAGATTTTACTTTTACGGTGGATCGTGCAAAATTCTGCTACTGCGCAGTTGCAGAATCGCGAGATATTTTCCACAGCTCCTGCGGCTCCACTTACGATTATCAGAGCGTCTTTTCCCGTTTATTGGACGTTACCGTTGTACCGTGCGTTATGAAGCGTTTTAATTAAGGAGCGATATTATCAACTTAATGTGCTGTTTGTGCAATGTGCTATTATCAACTGAATGTAAGAACGTTCATTAGAAAAACGCTCCTGCGCTCCCGAGAGCGCTTAGACAGCGCCGAAAGAATTTGATGCAATCTCGAGTTGGGTAGAAGAAGCCCCACGGATGTGTTATTTGCTTTCTCCCTTCATTTGGACGCGGTCCACTCGCGGTGTATCGCGCGTTCTGCTCCTCGGAAGATCACCGCGCGCAATTCTTTCCTTTCTAACGAGCAACCAGCTCGCGAGTAATTATACGCCGATCTCAATTTTATTCCTGACACGGAATCGCAGCGAGCACCGGCGTGGTGATTTACGCGAGATTTCTCAGGCGGAAAATGGTACCACTCAGCGCGCGGCTGTTTTCACGAGACTTTTCACCGGTCTCAGATTCCAGCGAAGGAACGACGAGTCAAATTCGATAAGACCGAATTTGAAGTTGCAAGGCGAAGAGATGCAGTCGAGCGAATGAATGGTAGTTGTCCAATAAATCATACTTTCACGGGAAGACAAATGACAAACTCCGCATGTCATATCATTTTTTCCGCCAGGAGGAGGGGAGAAGAGGGTTCAATCACTCGGGTTGAAACGCTTCTATACTAAATAAATGCCGCACCTTTCATGTTTCTCCCATAAATCCGATAGCTCATTAAATCCCAACGCTCTCTTCCACGGAGGAACGGATTTCCTGGCCGTTTTGACACCGAAATGCGCATGAAAACGCGCCTAAGGGTCACTGGTTCGCTGGCGAAGTAGGTAAGTCTCTTTCGTTTCGGTACGGAGGCCCTCGTGAGTAGAACGGAACGACCGTTGAGCCGCGCTGATTCGCGAGACTTTTTCCAACGAAGGGGCCGACGCGTACGTAGACGCACAATGGAATTAGCATAAGTGAAAATGTACACGTAGCGTACGGCGTACGCTGCTGCTGGCCGGCCGCCCTTACGATTCGCCGATCCTACGCTCGGCTACGAAAAAGCGTATACAGGTCTCTCTCGTACGGCCTGCACTCCACCTGTGTAATTATTTCTGTGTCGTTACCGGCAGGATTGCGGCGGCGCATTCACCGGGCGTTCCACTTTCGGCCTCCACCGACGCGAACATCGCCTCGATGCGCGCTTGGACGGCGCTGTTCACCCTCTTCTGCTCGTCGGCGCCCGCGTCGTCGGGACTAGTTGGGATCGCGCTGGCGTACCATCCGCCCAGAGCGGAGCTGCAGATCGATCTGAAGAATTCGACCGAGAATTCGTTAAGGAGCAGGACGTAAGTCGATGCGAATACGCATGAATATGCAGGAGTTACGGGTCGCAAGTCTCCGTTCGTGTAACTGAACAGGAACTGAGGACGGAACATTTCTCATTGAGAAATGTTATCTCTGTTATCACGGCACTCGCCTGAGCACTCAGCTCATCAGAAATCGCTTGAGACTGAGAACAATCGACTGATCAGAAATCGGGCTTTCCGAGCTCGGTCCTCATATTTTCCCCGGGCAGCGGGACGTTCAGTTACACTAACGGAGTTTGTCCTCCCGTGAGCGCTGGGTCCTATCCTTGATATTCTCGGAGGACTCGGCGTAATCAGGATCAGTCGAATGAGCTCGACTTACCTGGAGTCCTCGAAGAGTGCGTCGATCTGCGCCTTGCTCCTGAGAGAGCACTCGGACGGCGGGCCGCCCAATCGAAAGCCGTCCTCGTAGCAGGACATCCCCAAGACCGACATCCTTTGTCCGCGGGTTGCAGCGCTTCGTCACTCGTTTAATTCGCCTCCTCGCAACTCGCCGCCTTCGGCGCTTTATCGCGTCTCGTCCGCTGTCGTCCGCATTCGCTCTGGAAAAAGGAACGCGCGTCGTTACGAATGATAGAACTGAACAGCGTCGCAACAGTCGACGGCAACAGTTTCTACATCGCCCCGTTTCTACATTGCGATCGCGACGCAGGCAAATGCGCGAACGCCGGAACACGGTAATTTATTCGTATTTACCGGTTCCCGGGAAATGGCAGTCTCGTGAGCGCGACCAGTCAAGGTTTCCGCAGCGGCTCGAATACGAAATTAATGATTATTCGAGGATAACTTGGAGGGACTAGGACAGGGTCCTCCGGTTCTCACCCGGTTCTCCACGGCTACCTGGCCGACGTCGTCGCGCATTAAATTTATGCCAAGCGCCGTACTCTCGGCGTGTATAATTAAAGTCGAATTGTAAGTAAGACCGGGCCGGGCGGTTGCTTCGCGTACACACGCGCGAGATAGCCGCAACGGTAAAAGTGACGGAGATTAGACCAGAGGAAAATGCGAGCACAATGAGCTCGCCGATGCGTGACGAGTATTCATGAAAACGATCGATCAGCGAGAGAGTGCTGAGGAGGCGGATCTTCAAGGAGGGTGAACCTTGCGGGTAACGTCGCGACTGCGCTGGTCTGTCCATCAGTCGGCTAAAAATCGTCTTCTCTACTCGAGAGGCGTCGGAGTTCCGATATTTGGCCAAGTACAAATCAGACTAATAATATAAGGATAGTAATAAAAAAGAGCGCGCTAATGAACGCGCACGCACAGCGCCTTGACTTGAGACCGACATCAAGGTCGTTATCCTGCGAGCTAGAAATCGTACGAGTGCCGCTCATACGGAGTGCACAGAAAAATTGCGTGCCTACTGTAATCGGATTCGTCCGCTACTTCGGATTTCACCGGCAACCCGTGAAACTTCACGCATTTCTTCGTCAAGGAGCGCGTTGTTGCTTTAATAGCGCTCGAGAAAACTGATTCCGTCATCCAGAAGCGAGGATCTGGTCTCTCTCTCTCTCTCTCTCTCTCTCTCTCTCTTTCTCTCGGTGGGCCGATGGATTCGCGATACTCTCGACGCGACGTGAGCAGCTCTCTTCATCGGGGAAAGGGAAACGCGAAGGGCAGCTGTCTCGGTAAATACGCTTGTGGCTAACGGTCTCGTCGCGCCAGCCGCGACGACTGTAAAACGCAATCAAAGTCGCACCTTCGCGACCGCGAAATCGAAGTCAAGCTAGGTAGTTCGAGTCCAGCATGAGCCAGCTGTTGTTCCTCGAATTATTCGTCGCAGCCGGTCGCAGTGAGAAATTTTACAGTTAGGGACCGGCTAGACCCGGCTAGACCGCGCACTTCCCGGGAAGTGTCGATGTCGGCCTCGCGTACGACGCTCATAATAATAACCCGTAATAACTGTCAACGCGCGATCCTCCTCGCGCAATCGACGTCAGCTTGAGCGCGTGCTGGATTTACCATTACCATTACAGTTAGCCATGACCAAAGTGGCTGCCGAATTCGCGCCGTATTAATCACGACTGATTACGGTTAATCGGGATAACGGCGGCCGGGAGTATCTTCAAGGAGGGACGGGGGACCGCGACAATCAAGGGTGTGGGAAAGGCGATCACATCAGCGACAGGACACTCCGTTATCGACACATGTCCGACACGCATAATCGCGAAGCGACAAGCTGCTTGTGCCGTCCCCCCTCCTCCCCCCCACGGCGTCCTCAACGTACTCGTCGCGAATAATCCTGGGCTTTGGCATATTTCGCATATTTCATGTGACACCACACATTGCAGGTTTATGATTTATTATCGTGGGACAGTTCTCACGGCAGCTTCTACCTTCCATGCTCATCGCCGCGGCGATCCGAATAATCAGCGGCGAACTTGACGACGCCGGTTCTGACCCAGTTCCAGCCTTCACCGCTCCCACCGTGATCGTACTCGCGGCGGCGCGAGCTTGCTTGATCGATTATTCCAATGTCCTCTGTGTATACTATACGGATTCTTCAGGAATTATCTTTTCGGGAATTATGTCGTATAAGCCATATGTCAGAGAGAGAGAGAGAGAGAGAGAGAGAGGAGAGATCGGACGGGATTTACAGGACGGACAGGGAGCTTGGAAGCTCCGGCACGATCGGACACCTGGACGATCGTCTGATCGCAATCGCGCTATCTTCGCAGGACCGACGAGACGCATTCATCCGTTTCTCTCCTGGGATCCTCCAGCGTTCCTCGTTTTCGTAACTGTCGAGGCGCCCGCCTCGACGTGTTTAAGGCAACGGTATTAAGGTCGGCGAACAGATTACGGCATCACGTGCCGGTGCATCGTAGAGAGCTAGTCGATATACGCGCTCGACTTTGAGCGTCGTTCAACTTGCAATTACCAAGTTCACGGCTCGTTTCCCGCCTGCGTCTGCTTTAATGGCTATCGAGACGGCCGATAAACACATGCACGCGATATCCATCTAGGAGCGCGCGTCGCCGGTCGCCGGTCGACGGTTTATTTTCCCAAGTCGTTAAGATACACTTCGGTTCCGGGAATTTTAGAAACTCTGTAATTATCGAACGCAGCCGGAGGGGCTTTTATTCTCGCCTGTTGAATCGAGACTCCCTAATCGGACCGCCGTTGTCGAGCAAAAACGACAGAGAGAAAAATCGGCAACCGACCGGCGCCATAAAATTTTACACCGAGAAGCGGTGTTTCGCCTCGCCGGAACAAGGTTACGCCTTTCGTTATCAAGTTGGAATACAGGACGCGCGCGTGAACGCTCTCTTCGAAATAAAAATTGCCCGCTCAATCGTCAGGGGATCATCCCGCGAATTTCTACGAATTTCGGGGGGGCTCCAGCGATGCGTCGGGGATTTCTTTGCATTTTGACGAATTTGACGTGTCGCGATGCTAACAAGACCGCACAATTCCGCAAGGCGTACCTGCTACTTCGTCGTCATCGATCCGTGGGATGTGATCCAAGATAGCACACGGCCGGCCACCTTTGCGACATCACCACCCTCGTGCGAATCAGTCTCGTGCGGTAAACTCGCGTTGTCATATCACCGCTCGGAGGAATCTGTCAGCGGAATGGCGCACTGGCGTTACCCACATCGAGCTGCACTCGTGGACTCGTGTTATTCGCCGATATTCACTCCCGCGCTTATTTCGTGAGCTTCGTCGTTCACAATCGCGACGACGGGCTTCCTCCGGACGAGCGTCGACCTTGGCCGCGTCGAGTCGATCCGGATGACCGTCGACGTGAAACTGCCGGGGATGTTCCGCAGGAGAGACTCGAGTTCTCTAGCTAGTGAGTCGGCGCCTCCGCGATGGAACGAAGAGGAGGAGAAGGATGAAGATCAACGGAGGAGAAGCCCTCTCTCGATCCTCTCGGCCGTCGCGGACGCGTCTACCGGCTACTCTCTCGTTGGCCGCCCGGAAATCTCGTTCCGCTGATACGAATTATACGCTGATAAATCGGACCACGGCACGCCCACGGTATCGCGCTCCGATCTGATAAGATGCTTTCTTCCTCCGCTATTATGTCCGCTATTACTCGAGGAGTAATATCGCACTACCACTACAGACTTCGCGTATTTCGTCTGCGAGAGACGTCGGATTTATCGGAGTATCTTTGGACTCTGACATAATTAAGGGGTCTGATCGATTAAGGATATTGCCGGGTGTCCTGCGACTTCGTCGATGAGTATCGTGCGCTTGTCAGTTTATCCAGAGCATCAACGATGAAAGGCCATGTTGCGTTCTGACCGACTTAAATTTCGAAAAAGCATCAAACCGAGAAAACGACTCTCCCGTGCAAGCGTCTTCAGTGAGGAAACTTCACCTTTATTTTATCCTTCATTGTTTCACCTATATCCAAGAGGGAAGCCATCGCCGAGCAATTTCCTTGCCACGAGGCTCGCTTATAAATTTCCCCCTTCGTCCACAAATCATTCGATGATTGAGAGTCATCGACGAGGACGCCGTTTCTTCCTCGGCAATTTTTTCCGCGCGTGCCGCCGCGGCGTGTACTTGACCGATATCCTCGCGGTCGTCCCGAGATGGAACTTATCAAAGCCGAGAGGACCGGCGGCGGCAAGATGAACTCGGTAGGAAATGATTAACGATAGACAAGGCAGACGAGAGTGGAACAGCGGGGGAAAGAGAGAGAGAGAGAGAGAGAGAGAGAGACGAGCGATCGAATCGATGAGCAGTAGGGTGGACCGTATGGCGTTGTCCGGGTCCTCCGATTACCGCCATTGGAAGTGGCCGTCGCCGGTGCGCTCGCTGCGGTAACGTCGTAACCGGTAACGGTACCGCGCCTCGACGGCGCTCACCGGTCGTACCGATGTGAGAGTACTGTTATTTCAACTATGCAGGCTGCGTGTTCCCTCTCCGTCTATTCTCGCGCGCGGTTTCCTCCTCGCTCCTCCATATGTCCGTCTCATTCTTTCGCACCGTCTGCCGGAGCACACAGTTCAGCGTCGCCGGGAGCTCGCATCGCTACGCCGTATCGATCTAGTCCTTTTTTATTTTTCTTTTTTGTAGAATATTTGAAACATCTTCTCATCAGAGTTCAATGAACGACTCGATAGACGAGAAACGAATCGTGCTGTACACGATTTATTAACATTCGCGGGGTCAGGATAAGCGGATATTACGACACTGTGCGCTGAATAATGAATACAAATATGTGTCGAATTATTTATTCATGTTGTGTCACGATAAATTTCGACGAGTGCGGAGAAAAGATCATGAAACTCGCTCGTTCGCTCGGGCCGCATCGCGCCTCTCGTTACGCGCTGCAGTAGTCTTCTGTCGCGGTTTACTTTCGTTCGCGCGTTGTCCCGCGAACGGACGCATCGCGTAGACGTAGACGCGTGAGAGACGTCGCTGTTACAACTTCTGCGACAACGCTGAGAAAGTCGTATACGTATTCCTGATAGCGCCGATACTCGAGTGCGTCGCCTCTCTCTGCTTCGCCCGTATTACGAAATTGCAGACCGTTAGCGAAACGCTCGCATATAATCGCGAGCGCTTCGGAGGAGACATGCGCGCGCGCGCGCCGACAGAACACCGCGACGCAGAGGGACAGAGGGGACGGGAAGATTGTATAGTAGGTTAATTGCACGAATGTTATTAATAAAACATTGACTCAACCGTAACTGTTTACGCCAGGCTAAGAAGATATCTCACTGCCAGGAAATGTATAAAATAAGTGCCGCGGGAGCGCGGCCGCGCTCGTCGAGGATCGATGGAGATCCGTTATATAGGCAGAGCTGGCATAATGATCACCGCGCGATTATTATGCCATTTCGCGCGGGTATCGTTCGGCCGGCGACAGGTGGCACATGCCTCGTGTAGCCGAAGAAGTCACGTCTAGCCTGAGCGGGAAGCAGGCAGCGCTGGCAATTCCTCACAAAGGCAGTACCGCATCTGTTCGCTTCTTCGGGATTCACACCGGCGCGACGCGCCGACGCGTCGGCGCGGCGGCGTCGTGCTTAAACCAGATACTTCCGCCGATTAAAGCAGGAGTGCCGTTGCTCCTTCGCCGGCTCGTCGACTTATCGATCCGCTTGTCGATTCATTCCATATCCGTCTGTCAACTTGCTGCTCTCTATCTGCGCACACGCATGTCGCGGGAAGGCGCAACTGGCGCGACGATTAGGCGCGAGTCCGCTGTAATCTTCTGTCGTCCCCGGCGGAATCGGGACGGGCTTCTCTCTCTCTCTCTCTCTCTCGGTGTTAACGGCAACCTCGTGACTTTCGACCGAAATTAATATGAACCGGTTTTTTGCCCGCACCGTTGGCGGGCAAAAATCGCGGCGCGCTCGATCGCGGCTGCGCTTATCGCGCCTCGCCGCATCGCTGCCATTGTCCTTCTTCTTCTTCTTCTTCTTCTTCTGTTTGCTTATTCTCTCACCGCCGACGGTCGAGAGCGGAAATCTCTCGGCGCGGTGGTCGCGTGAAACTCTTCAAGGGATTCATTCCTAAAGCGGAAGTATTGGGGATTCTCAATTTGTCACGCGGGCACAGGCTTCACAGCTGTTCCCGTCACTCGTAGGCGCGGACTTCCGCGTTTAAATGCCGCTTCTCCATCGGCTAATTATAAAAGCGCCCGTAGCTCGCAATCGCCCGCCTCTCCTCCGCATTATGCGTCGGACGCAGCGCTCAGGCACTTGTGCGGGAGGAGGTTATTATACGCTATTGAAAATCGGACGAAGGTACTTTTGTGAGACGCAAGATTACCGTGCTCTCGCTCAACAGCACCGTGAGTGAAAAGAAAAGAAAAGTTAATCCCGCTGAATAGCCTCGGCCATTTTTCGCCGTTGACCGCGTTTCCCGTAAAGTCTCTCAACGTTTCGTTCGTCGGAATTTTACGTACATCGGAAAGATGCGCGTACGGGATTATTGTTACACGGAAAGCACGGAATATGCGATTCCTATCTTTTTCTCCTTCAATTTCCAGAGTTTCTCTCGCGAAAAGAGGAGAAGAAATCGACAATCATGCCGCTTGATGATTGCCTCCGGTCGCATGCGCTTATACCCACTCATTAAAATCGTCGGACGTGCCGAAGTCCCCGAACGGTGCAGTCTCCGACATCTACCGGCGAGTACAACAAAGTGGTACTGCTTCTGGTGGAAAGTAAATCAGGTCTTGGACCGTTCGAACTCCCGCCGGGGGCGGGGGGGGGAGATCTTATTTCGGGCACGACACGGCGCGCATATTAATTCACCCGCCATGTCGTTATCATGCAACCACCCTGACGACCGGTGGTTCTTCTCTCGTATCCGTTAACCACCACCACCGTGCACTCTTGGCCTCCTCTTCTGTACTTGCTCCGAATCTCACCTCCCACCGAGCAGTCCCTCTCCTCCCCGCCCCGATGCACCTCCGCGACCGTGTTCGCATTGCTCTTACTCCAGATTCATGGCCATAACTGCCGCAGTGTGCGTGATGCAATTACACAGTCTGCTTCCTTCGAAATGGAACGTTCGATGGGCCCATTGTCACCGTTTGAGACAAAGAGAAACGGGGGAAATGCAAGTCGCGTTCGGTAACGAAGATAACAGTCGCTGTCGAACGGCAGACGAAGAGCGGATGAATTTTTACGGAACGAAGACGCTATCGCTTATCGTCGAGCGATCGTTGTGCTCTCCTTGACGAAGTTTCTTGCCGATTGCCGATCAATCGTGCTCCTCGTTGGAAGTACTTTTTTCTCGTCTAATTTTTTAGGCATCGTATTATAATGCGGCTTTATAGCGACAGCACTGCCGCTCGGATTACGCTCGGACGAACGGACGAGAAATGAACCGCCCGTTATATCGGTATCAGCACCGTTAGGAATTAATCTTGCACGAGACATTAGAGCTTAATCGGCCGACTGGATCCAAATGAATTGCTCGGTGTGCGCAATCGGTGAATTATTGAAAACTAATTCCTGCCCCTGACCTAATTTCTTCACTCCCGTGCAACGTGCTCGTATGCGAACGTACGCGCGGCTAACTGTAAATCGCGGAACTACCTCCTAACTGTAATTCGAGCTTTCAGCGATCGCGCGGCTACGTTACATTGTCAGAAGAATTTAGAAATGCTAAGGTCGCTCGCTGATCTGCCGATCGGCGATACGTGAAGGCCGTCCGGTAGGCTTGATATTGAAATTCGCCGTACGACTTAATCGCGTAATTCTGCAACGCGGTCGCTGAGAAACGTTGCGACTATAAAAAAGCGACCATAAAAAAGGCGAAACAATATTGATTACTAAATTTGATAAATTTGGTAAGTATATATTACGGGTATACTTATTGGTACGCTTGCAATGTATGTAAGAAAAATTAATATAATGGTATATATTAATCTCTAGTATATTTGTATCGATATAAATACATTCTCGAATCTCGTTAGTTTTGTCAATCCAGATATCGTCGCGATGATAATATCGTCGCCTTGCTTGCGGGGGACTCGGCAATGCAGATTGTTGCCGCGGAGACTGGTGTGCGAGAAACATCGAACGACTCACTCTTCAACGAGATTTATATTTTACACAGTTAATGGTATATTTATTTGTTAGGACAAGAAAAAAGAAACAGAAAGACGCGTATACAGTATATTCACATGCAATGTGTTCCTCTTGATGACATTAATCTAAGCGTACGCACACGCGGAAGCGTTCGCGAGAGAGGCAATTACGGTGCGCCGGCTGCACTTTCGTCGCCGAGGAAAAGCGCGTCTCCGCACACGCGGCTTACGCAACGTCGCATATTTTCACATTTTCTCTCGCCGCGAGAAGGATCCGTCCACGTTCCTCGCCATTCACCGCGCTCCCCGTGTGCGTACCGTACGTGTTACATACTCACACACATACACATATATATATATATATATACGCGCGTATATATATGCAGTTATAAAATTAATGAGTCTTCCTTCGCATTCTTGATGGCACGTTCCTATCAGTGCTCGTATCAGACGCGAGAGTTAAAAAAAAAAAAAAAGAAAAAAAAGGAAAAAAAAAGGAAAAACAAAACAACACGTCTCTCTATGTGCGACGCGATCGTCCTCGAATGAATTGTCGCGCTCTCGCGTGCATTCATACACGCACACGCACGCACGCACGCATATTATGTATACGTACATACGCGCATACACACCGTGCAACTTACGGTACATCCATTGACGTACAATGGTGTAGCGATGCGCGCTGGTGTACTCCACTCCGCGCAATAATCGTGCAATTTTTCATTTCGCGCTTTGCGTGCGGAAAAAAGAGACTCAGTTCTCGCACCTGACTTTCCGCTGTCTGGAGAATCGAGCGAGAGCTCGAAACGGAAAGATTCCCGTAGGGGAATAATTCTCCATTCGATAAACAGCTGTCGTTTATCTCAGCCGAATTTCTCTCAGCGCAGCCGAAAGCTCGTCATGGCGGAGACACATCGCTCCCTGTCATCCCGGTCGTTCGTTCAGTTTTGCGCGAACCGAGCTTTTTGTCTTCCGCGAGTAAGAAGCGAGTCAGGGAAAGTTGCAGGTAACGGCGATAGTGGCGTACCGATTCGGATGCCATTAGCATTCCTTTTCGAATGCAAGATAATTCCTTATCTTGTACCGTTCTTCCGGCGGTTGTTGGCTCGCCGGCGCATCAGCATCGGCAACCGCTGGAAAAACGATAAGAAATAAAGAGAAGAACGAGGCATTATTCCCGTACACGCTTCTTGTGCCGCTTTGCGTATCTTCTTACGCGAGCGATTGGCGAGCAATATTTGAATAACGTGGCCTGTCGCGCATTACGCGATATTGTTTCAGGTCGGGACACGGCCAAGTGCGAAGCGAAGAACACACGTGTGTGATTGCAGACGACAGCGTTAATTGCACGATGATTGCACGAGAAACCCAAATTCGAGAGTGAAACGAAACTCGGTGACGAAGATACGAGAGGTATCACTGATACTTCTGATATAACCTAAGCCGATTTCCTAATCCGTCGTGTCGCGTTTTCCTTCTTCTTTCTTCCTTCACTGCGACTTTTCAGTCGCAGCACCGAAGGCTGCGCGTATTCACCGAGCGATACAAATATCATCGATACGAATACAAGTCGGCTTCTAATGTACTGTCACAGACAATTGATACATCGCTACGTCGCATCGGCACGGTATATTTGGCGTACGAACGTATATCGGCAGACCTCGACTTCATGGAAGACGATTAGTGATTGCTCGAATGTGCAGGTCGATTGAGTCGAGATACGACTTTACAGTTACGACATGCGACGCTGTAACTGCGCCTGTGTGTGTGTGTGTGTGTGATACCGGTCGTAGCTGCATTTTACGCCGAACAGCACTTATACCAGCGCCGTCCGTTGCATTCCAATTCTAGTATAATCACAAATCGTCGGCCACATGAATCTCATGAAACATTTTATTTTACCCTATACGTATATAGTACATTTTTCCTCGTATTAAAAGTATGGCTGCATTCTCCCCGGCGAAAGAAGAAAAACGCTAAGATAAACGGACCCGGAGCCCGCCGATACATTGTCACACACTGCCACCTTAGGACCGCTGGATCAGATCGAGCCGTTGTCTTACCGGGAGAAAAGGGAAAGACGTTATAAGGTCTCTTTGTTACTCTTTCTTCTCGTTTTTTTTCTTTTTTTTCTTTTTGGAAATTCTGACAATAGCTGCATTTTCGTCGTGATATCCAGGGAAGAGAAACACTTCTAAAGATCCTTTCACTATTCCATTTTTCTCCTTCTAACGAGACGAAACTTCTCGTCGGGCGCACGCACACGCGGACGAAACGACTCTGAGATTCTTTCACCGGCACGCTTCTTTTCTGGAAATTTGTCACAGTCTGATAATCGAGTAATTTTCCTCACATGTACACGCACAAGACGCACAAGCCTCCGCTGAACGTTTCTGAAATCTCAAGTCTGACTATTGACTCGTTCGGAAATAATGATGAAGAGGAAAAAATCGACGGAAGCGAGCCCTTTTTTCTTGCGGGAAAGCGCGCTCTACATAAGCCGCCAATCAAGGTGATTAGCATTCCACCAGTTGTTTGTTGCAATCCTGAAACTAGAGTATTCGTGTACGACGGTTGCGGTTAACCCTGAAAATTACACGGGAGAACGGAATGTGGCCGCCACCACCGCCGCCGCCGACGATAGCGACGACGACGATGACGGGAAGGGGTTTGCGTGCATAGTGCATGTAATGCAATATATGCACCGTAAATGAAATAACGCGTCTCGTGTCCGAGCGAGCGTGATATGCCCGCGATGTCGAAATTCGCCTTCAACCTCCACTCTTAACTCGTACGGAAAGTTTGTCGTCATCTCAATTGCGCATTTTCGACACTCCGACTATTTTGCTCGAAAACGCGACGTTTCTAGCATGTATAGACACCTATATACCTCGCTAAGAGTCGTAACTACAAATCTACGGATCTTCTTCGTCTCTCTCTCTCTCTCTCTCTCTCTCTCTCTTCTCGTTCATTCGCAATTTACGACATTGCACTACATGTCGACGAGAATCGAGAGACACACTTTCCGCACACGCTTCAATGGCATGTTCACTTCATTATCTCTCTCTCTCTTTCTCTCTCTCTCTCTCTCTGACTGGCTTATTTGGTAAAATATACATATATAAGTATAGATAAATATACATATATAAGTACGTATAGGTATTCTTGTATTCGTACATATGCCTATATCGCACGTGCGCCGGCACGTGGCGCGGTCGGCTTACAAATGTCTCGCAGTCACTTTCTACCTCAGTACCTAAATCGGCAACGTGTGTATCGTGACTTCTGTCGGTTCGTTGGAAATGCGATGGAAAATTCGGTGGAGAGATACACACCTTTACCTTCGACGGACGGCCGATTTGATTTTCACGCGGGAACACTCGGGAAAAGCGCGGTAGGCAGGATGGAAGGAAACATAAACGGGGGAATTCCGCGATCGGGTAGCAGCCTTGGCGCGGAAACAACGCGTGGTAACGACGACAATCGGATGAGTAATACCGGTGTGCGCATGCCTCGCGGTGCGACCGATGTATGCGATAATAATCAGTGGCGTGGAATTCTTTATTTCTCCGTGCGACGCTGTGGCATCTTCATTTGTGTAAGCGTATTCTTTTTCCTTCAAATAAACGCGTCGACGGTGGAATGTTTAACTGCTCGTTGAATATGTAGTTGCTGGTGTAACTCACGGTTCTCTTCCTCTTTTTTTTATCAGAATATAAAGAATCGTCTAAAGCTGTCGTCTTGATAAAACACCGTTTGCTGCTTTTCGATTTGCATAATGCGCCGCTTTCGCGATGACATGTCATAGGAATGTCTGCATATCGTTGTAATTTTCCGCTCGAAGCCCCGTGTCGATTGATTTCTTTCCCTTCTTTTTCTCTTTTCTGTGAGTTGAAGTGAGTTGCTTCTCTTGCAATTCTCTGACCGCATACACGTACTATCTTTCCACTTGAATGCCAATTTGGAGCGTGAGTGTGTCGGTTATGTAATATTCCCGCTGCGAATGCGATAATAGCTCATCTAAGATTGACTTTTCTTCACCACAAAGCGTCGAGGGAATGTCACTAAAGCGTTATTTTTCATCATCTTACATTTTCTGGAGAAGCGCGTGTATGCGGTGATGTATTCTAAATTTTAATTATATATTTCGGTGAAACTTATATAGAAATGCGCACGAGAGACAAAAGAGAGAGAAAGATAGAAAGAGAGAGAGAGAGAGAGAGAGAAAGAGAGAGAGAGAGAGAGAGAGAGAGAGAGAAATTGCGCACGAATATTTGGTCGTTATTGCATTCTGCTCCGATATTTTCCCACGTAACACCTATCGCATCGCTCGGAGAAATTCGTGGCGAAAGGCGAAGGCTTTTTTTATCGCCCATAATCGGCACGCTCGATGAAATGCCGATCGAAGGAGAAACGCTTCTCCGTGCAGCATTTGAATAGCACGTTCGACTTGCGTAATGGCAGATAATTGTTCTTACGTAGCGCTGATCACTATTCGCTGAATACTAATATGCGCGCATGAATCATTTAAAAAAGTGTGACTCATCGTTTATTTTTAGCTTTGAGCCGGCATTGTTGACAAAAGACAGAAAGCCGCTGCTTTGTCAAATTTCGAGCATTAACGAGTGTTTCAAGAATTTCAAGGGTTCGCAGATGACATTGCGAATCGCGCAATTACGTAACCGCGGTGAAGCGATTGAAAGGAATGAAAATGTTAATGAAAGCGACTGAGCGATTAAGATCGTTTGACGTGATCATCATCGTCGTTGACGTGTGCGCGAAAGAACGTCGATGCATTAGGTATTTTTAATCGGTGAGCACATTTGCCTTGCTACCGACTGCAAGATTAATGCGCAATTTATAATACAGCATAGTCATCTCTCTCTCCTCTCTCTCTCTCTCTCTCTCTCTCATCCTCAGAAGCACATGTCTCGCCAACATGTGAATTGTTCCTCTATCCTACGTTATATTCGCACGAGATCAATGCACGCGAAATACCAAACGAGCAGGTGGTCGCAATAAGTGGGAAATTTCAGCAGTTTCGGACTCTTCCGCTGCAACTTTCGGAATTGAGAGCGTCGCGTATGATCGTTTCGTAGGTGATAAAAATCATACGGATAAATCGTTCGAATGTACGGTAGCAAAGGTACGGCACACTTACGGTGACACTTGATTGTTTATTTGTGCGCTATATAAGTCTCATACGCCGATACGTAACAAGGTCGTCATTCCTTTTCTCTTCGCGTGGAAGCTCTTACGACGTTGGTGTTAATACACCGCGATAAAGGTTCAGCAAACGCGCGCGTGACCGTAAAATGTCACAAACAAGGTCGCTCTACGAGTAGAGCGGCCGATATAATATACGCGACGTCTCTTTCTCGCGAATTGGAAATGTGAATATCTACAACCCGATTGATTTTATCTGCTCTTCGTGTGGCACAGTTTGCACGACTGGGTTATCTCATTTTCTCTTCCGATCCATATAAATCGAAACTGGTGATGAACTGTGTGCGCGGTCATGCGATAGAAAAAATTATATCTCACGCTGACATAATTTTTCTCTTAGAACGACATTTCCTGGGAAAAGAAGCGGACCGAGAGGCGATTATGAGACTGATTTTGCACTCGAGACGTTAAAGATACTTGCCAAAAGGAATAACTTGCAATATCGACGACATCGGAACTTTCCGCAAAGTTGCCGACATTCATTTTCACAGAGGAAATAATAGAGGCGCGGTAGCCTCTCTTCCATGCTACGCGCCTTCGTGTAATGAGCTTCAGACAGCAGAACTGCTCTCTCATAAGACGACAATAATTGTCGCCTAATTAGCTCGTTCTGCAACGAGAAGGTCGTTGCGTTCCTCGGGGCGTTATGTCATCGTGTGATCTCATGAATTTCACTGATTTTTCGTCTTCACATTTCAGAATACTCATCCGGCTTAACGACACGAACTCTCACCAGATGTAAAATTAAGACAACGTGATTGAGGGATAACGTCCATCAAAGTGTATCCGCTCTGTACTCAAAAAGTCAGCATTGTCGTCGGATTAATTAAGGAGAGAGAATACGCGTGCACACGCTCGGAAACACCGTCCGAGGTAAAAAAAACTGCACCGCGGACTCGCGATGTTTCGCAATGCCAATCTTTTTCCACGTGACGCGATGACGGAACATAAAATCGTTCCTCACCATAACGCAGGTGTTACGCTTGAGGAGGTAAGCCGCAGTAAGACGTTTGTTAATCTGAACGAAGTCGCTCTTGCGTCAGCGCAATCAGCCGGAAAGAGCAAAACTCACCTCGAGCGATTGTCTACATCGCTGAATAATAAAGGAGGAGAGAATTCCACGGAGGTTTTTCCTTACAATTCACACTGTGACCATCGACAGCGGTGACGCGCGCGGACGCGACGTGTCTGTTTGCGACGTTCCGATTCGTGACGGGAAAGGGAGTAATTTGATTAGCGAACAAATTCGCGACGGTCAAATCGGCCGGCGAAATGAAACATTCTACAAGGGTGTGTCGATCTAACGCCAAGGCTACGGGAAACGATGATTTGCGGACAAGGGGCGGGACTTCCGTTTCCGAGGGATATCCAGAAGTCAGTCTGGGTATCCACCCTAGAGGATTCAAGATAGCCACTAAAAGAGGTCAGTCTTGAGCAATGGTTTTAACGGGGTCTCGGCCTGGGCAGCGGCTGCATCTGCTGTTGCTGATGATGATGGGGATATCCACCCCTCGAGTTCGAGGGCTGCGTTCGCTCCGGTCCCTCGTTGAGACTCAACCCGGCGACCAGCTGGGCGATCTCGCGATCCTTCTTCTCTTCCTTGGGCAACGCGTTGCCGTTCTGGGCGCTGAAGCCGAGGGAAGCCAGACTGCCGTGGCTTCTACTTCGGTGTTCCGCTCGAATGCTGTAAGAAAAGGCTCTCTCGTTCAGGTGACCCTTCCGCCGGTAGATCCCGGTGCCAAAGCGGGACTCGTTTTCCGGACTATCCGCCGCCCGCGTGACTTCCGGTACGGTAAGATCGGCATGCGAGGCGGCCAACCGCCTAGACGTGCCCAAAGTGGAGTTGTCCGTCTCCGGATGTCTCCTGCCTCTGTTCCCGGCGGTGCCGTATGATCCCGCTGGGTAAATGGCAGCTGCCGGGGCTGCAGATGGTGGTACTACTGGCAGAGGCGCATAGACCGGAACTATAGGCGCTGCCGCCGGAATAGGCCTTAAACGCGGGTGATGATGGCTTTTCCGCGGTAAGGTGGCAGCTGGCACCAGCAGAACCGGCGCCGGTCTGGCTAAAGTGCCGGCAACGGATCGGCTGCTGGGTGGCAGCGGATGGGGATGGTAGTGTTGCTGCCTGATGGGGTGGCCCAGAGTGTGATGACCGTGGCCGTTGGTGTACACGCCTTGGTGCAGCTGATGGTGGAGGAGCTGCTGCTGCTGCTGCTGCTGTTGCAACATGTCCTCGTGCAACGAGCGATTCTTCATCTTCTTGAGTTTCTTGTTGGTCTTTCTTCGCGCCGAAGAGGAGGAGGATTCCTCAAGTAGCAACGGTTGAGCGGGAGGAGGTGGTGGCGGAGGTGGCGGCGGCGGAGCAACTAATTGGCGCGGCCTGGATCCCTTGGTGCTTCTCAGGGTGCCTTGCTCCTGATAAAGGCCGTCGACTTCGTCGCGACCTCTTGCCCACACTTTGTGATTCTCGTCGCCGTTGTACAGGCTGAGGTCGTCGGTCGACGTAGCGTCCAGGCGGTTAGCCTGAGGACTGTCCAAGGTGGTGCTCGAACCACCCAAGGTATGATACAGGCTGTTATTGTTCGACTGATGACCCGTCGTCACGCCGTTTGTCGTCGCCGACGACGGCTCCAGACCTTTCGCGTAGCTGCTGTCCGCGTAAGCGTGAAAGCAACATCTCACCAGGGCGTTGGCCGCCATGTCTCGCTTGCAGATGAACGCATGACACTCAAGGACTTTGATGCCTGTCGTCCTCCGCAGCACGGCGGCGAACAAGGGCGGATGATTGGCGCTGGGCGTTCGTGCGAACGGCGAGTCCAACGGCAGGAATCGCGTGTTGGAAGCATCGCCGTTCCCACCTTTGACGTGTCGCACCGCGGCGCAGTAATGAAGCGCTTCAATGGGGAAGAACCGTGTGACCTTCTTGCGGTGCTCGTCCACGTTCTCCAACAGCAGGCCGTTGCTCCACACACTCAGCCAAGAGTCGATCCCGCGTGCGCCCAATGCGCCTTGCTCGGGATACAGCTCCCTCAGAGGCTCCTGGACGCCGAGGAGCCCCTCTTTGCTCGCATGGGGCACCGAGCTGCCTAGGTAGAGCACCCTGCACCGGCAGTACGGCGTGGCGGTATCCTGATTGGCACCCCTCATCTCTGACAGTACGCGACTGACTTCTCGGACGAGATTCAAGCGGGCTTGGACCAGATCACGTGGTCACAGAGAGTCGAGATAGCGACCGCAGGACGAATCTGCTCGAGCGTTAATTATCAGCCTTCCGCTTTCTACACGCGGTGTCGGATCACGAAGGTGACTCGGGGAATGCTCATTGTGCGTAGCAACGAGCACGCGACACATTCGCGCGACCACGGCAAATGAGACGACTCCGCCCGCGGTACAGTCGCTCTCCGAAGACGGCAGAATTCGACCTGCGTACCTTCTACGTCGGTACACGTCGTCGCAGCACGACGTGTTGCAAAATATGCGCACGCGCGCGCGCGCGCGCGCGCGGCAACGGCGAGAGGAGCTCGGTGCGGCGGCGCGGGTATTTCACAGCAGCTGTAGCCGCTCGCTCGAGATCGCGTCAGGCCATTATGGCTACCTTCTTACGAGTCAACCTCCCTTCCCTTCCCCCCGTCACCCTCCCCCCTCCACCAGCGCCAATATCGGGCCCCGCTTCGTTCTTTCTCTCTTTTTTTCTCGTCTGTCCTCTCACGCTCTCTCCGTCGCTCCGTCGCGTATTCTTTCCTCCTCGCACCTCTTTCCCCCCCGTTTCACCTTCTCCGTCCGTCTCAACGTCGCTTCCTCTCAGCTAGCTCTAGGCTCCTCTATTCCCCCTCTCCGCAGCACCGGGCCCGGGGCCTCACTGGTATGCGGCGCGCGTACAGTGGCGTCGTCGTCGTCGTTCCTCACCGACGCACCTCCACGTGTACCGATACGCTGTCACACGTATGCACGCACACTCAGGCACATGTACATTCTCGCGGCCAGCTCGAACGCGACCGTCGGCTGACGAACGTTAATGAGGGAACGTCGAAGCGACGGAAGCGACATCGAGTCCAGCGGAATCCTCGCCGCCGTGAGGATATTTTACGGGGTAAATATATCTCGCTGAGCGGCTCGAGCGCGTGTCGGTGTTTGTGGAATTTAGAGGCGCGGCCGCGAGGCGTCAGCCGTGCTAACACCACTACGCGGAGCACCGGTGGGCCTCATCGGACCTCTCACGAGGGAGACGGTGAAAATGGCGGAGCGAGGCTGGTCTCCGTCGCCAACTGCCGAGACTTGGGTGTCCTCGGGCAAGCCACGACGATGCCTCGCACACGAAAACGAGCGCGACGTGTCGACGTAACAGGGCCCCTCCGGCAGTGGCACCAACACGTCGCGCAGGAAAGCCGTTCTCTCTCTCTCTCTCTCTCTCTCTCTCTCTCTCTCTCGCTCTCTCTCTTTCTCTCTCTCTCTCTCTCTCTCTCTCTATGCGCACATATTTCCCATCTTGTACTGGCTCGCGCGCGTGCACACCAGCCACACACGCGCGCGCATACACACACACATATACACACACACACCCACGCACACGACGCACACGCACAGAGGCACGGGCGGTCGAGCGGAGCGGCGAACCACTACTACCTGGCAGTACGTTCTTCTTCAGACTGAGAACTGCTGGAAGGCGTGAGACTTCGTGACTGGATCCCACTCCGCTGGCTTCCAGACCCCACTCTCCTCGTGCTTTTCATCGTTGGGTCACTCCCTGGACTCCGATCATGTCACCGTATGCCTATCCACCACCTATCCTATCGGCCTCGGCCAGCACGTCGCGGCTATTCAGGGGGTTGCGGGAGCTGCGCCGAGGAAATGAACATTCTTCGGCTTGATTTTACGTAGGCGCGTTTTAATGGTGCTTCCTCTAGCCTCGGCCGCGAGTGACGCAACGCGAGCTACTTCGCCGGCGACGGCAGCGGTACCTTGACTTCGAATGGCATTTCGTTAGGAATTTCGTTTGGCGTCAGGACACCGCGGGAGAGCCGCGTCCTCGCTGCGCTGAGCGACAGATCGAACGTTGCGAACTTTTAGTCATGGATCCTGATGCGTGCGCGCGTGAAAGTTGCGATTGCCAATACAAAATTATTTTTGAAGAGGCTCAGATAACACGGACTTCGAAGGGTCCTCCATAAAATAGCCAGGGGAGGTCCTGCGGGCGCGTTCCCAGGACGTCCCTTGGAGAACTCCAGGTACTACCTGGAGTTGCTTGTTATTCGATTCCCGACAAAGTAAAGCAGTAATATAGTTTTTCTCACACGCTTTCCATGAAGTCGAGCGTCTGTGCGACGGTGTGGTGTGTTAAAGAACGCGCGGATCGAGTTGCCCTTTATAGGTCAGGGATTGCGTAGGTATCGCGAAGAAAAGCATATGCCTCCGGCATATACCTTTTTACAGGCTGCCAGAACACGGGAAGCGGGCGATTCCCTCCTGAGAAAAGGATAACTCGGAGTCTTGCGGTCGCTGCTCATGTTGGAGCAGTTCATGGCTGTGAAGGTGAAATCACAAATTTGTGTTGCGCAACGACATCATTTGAAACGTCTGCCGCGGCAGACAAGCGGCAAGTGGAAGGAAGGGTCTTCTGAGCAGGCTTACGACTTTGTCCGCTGCTTATATTTATATGGGCAGATCCAGCCGCTTTTAATGGAACAACGGACACATTTCGCATCTCCATATCTGCTGGCACAATGTTTCCTTATAATTAAATTCGCGTTTCGCAGAGATAAGAATAATTTTCACGCCAGAATTGTCTGCATTGTAAGTAGCTGGTTAGCCTTTTTCGAGGTAATTAGAGAATATACATATAAATCGCGTATTCGCGTTTAATCGGACATTGTACAACGGTACATGTTTAACACACCAATGAATCTAATTTCTCTTTGATGGCAGATATCAGTGATTCTGCTCTTTCATTTCTTTTTATATGCCATTGGGGTAGGCTGTGTAATTCCGTAGGGACGACACTTTTTCCGCGGACACTGTTCACTCGTTTTCCTCGCGGAGAAACGAAACGACGACGAGGACGAGGACGACGATGTCGTCGACGGCAACATTTTTCCATACAATTAGCCGCGGACACGTACCGTCGACAGTAAGACGGGAAAATCCAGTGGCGGCTTCGTGTCGCAGTGTGAAATCGTGTACACGCGGAATCAGGGTCGCGTGACCGGGACCCTGACCGTGGGCCAATGTCGGCATTTTTCAGTGGGAATTCTCCTCGAATCCTTTCGCAGACGTCTGACATATTTAGACGCGGGCGAGTGCAGCGAAGTCATTTCCGTCCGACGTGAAACGTACGAATTAAGTCGAGTACTGTTGCGTGTAACTGTATCACAATTACAACGATAAAGATACAAGCTTGAGATGTCTGATTATGATTCGTCGTTTCACGGTTCTTGAAGTTCGCTGTTCAGAGAAGCCAGTAGATTGTATCTTGAAAAATATTTCAGGACCCGGTGTCGCGCGTTTACCGTGGTGGAAAAATTATTCTCTTTTGCATATAAGATTGCAGGATAAAAAAAAGTTATTTTTATCCTGCAGTCGGCCCAGGAAGTTCCTTCGAGTTGTTTTGATCATCGTCATTCTCGATACAGGTACATACAGCTTGGTCCCGATCGCCCTGTCTCCTAGCATGACAATACTTTTTATAAAAAAGGATCAACAGCACGAAGGCCATCCGATATTTGTCGTACTTCTTTAAAAATAGGCATATCCGAGGTAAACTGATATGACTGGTCAGTATGCAAAAGAAGTCGTCGGCTCCACCGTGGAATCTCCCAAATATTTATTTCGGGACTTGAGATCGTCGGCCTTCGAACGTGCCTCCCCGAATGTGCCTCGAAGGCCAACTGGTGCGTATAATCTGTCTGATTCACGAAATTCGCGAGTCGCAAATGTCGCGGTTCTGTCCAATTTATTTAAAAATAAAGTACGGCTAGAACAAGTCCAAGTTTAGCCTGGAGATGATGAGAGATTTGCTGTCTCAGGACGCTCGAGTGTACGTGCGTGTGTAAAAATTTATGTATACGTTAAATTCGCCCGAAACTGGAGGCCGAAAATCGATCGTCGAGTGGGTCAGTGGGTCGTCGTCACGTTAATTACAAAGAATTCAAACACGGTGTGTACAGTGCAATCACCTCCTGTCCAAGAATCCTCTCCAATCCCCTCTTTTCGCGTGCTCTGCGCCATCCCTTTCCCGTGCGACATCTCGGGTACACATACATACGTACGCGTTCAACGACGTTTCTCTGCGTGACCAGTTCGCTTATTGGTGATGTACACACAATCATAACAGTGGCGGGGGGCAATTAGCTCATCGCAACTATCTCTCAAAAGAAGTTGTGAATTTCTTTGCAACGGTTCTCTTATCAGAAGAAGTAGCAAATTTTGCATAATACAAAAAAGAAATTAATTAAAGGAGGACCTCTCGTGAGATACATCAGATCAAAAATTGAAGCGAACGCTGCGATGAGTGCGCAAATCAGCGTTTATTATTCAAGTCAGGATAACGGACCGTTATATAAGATGACGCTTCCGATTCGGAAGCCGTCCTTGAAATGAGTAATCCCCCGATGAAACGGAGCAGATACGTCTCGCACAAAATAAGTTAAATCCGACGAATCGGCGTGGCCGGCAACCGCGAGAAAGCATGCCGCCACGTCGGGGATTTTAACGGCTTTCTAACAGACGGGCAGGCGGACAATTCGAAAGTTTTATGCAAACAGAGGCGACGGCCGAGAGGTCTTAGGTGCGCGGGGGGCTCGCAAAAATCTATGAAACCCGCAAGTTTGTCGACCCGGCATAAATATCTACAGGCGCTCTGCCGCCAGTACGTACATGTCGAGACGCGGTGGTTTCTTTCACATGCGACGGCCAATTGTTTTCCGCATGCCTGGAACTTCTACGATGCGTAAATGACGACGTCCGCGCGATTAAACCGCGAGAAAGTTTGGTGAAACGTCTTGGAAAAGACGACTAAGCGCTGCGAATCGCGAGTCTCCTCGAAGCCGATGTAACTTCTAATCACAATTCTTCCAGGACAATGCGTGCAATTTTCCAAAAATATGCGTAAAACGCGCATAAAATTTGTCATTTACTCGTATGTTATTTATCCTACCCGAATATTTTCATTTGTTTTTATTTTTGCATTTACCGTTACTTGAATTTAGATTCAGTGAAAAATTGTCACAGTGTCACGTATCTTGTTTTTCAATATCTTTTGTGTAAAATTTTTATTCACCGTTGATTCATGTGGGTGAATTTTTCTTTCTTCCATCAAACTTCAACCTTCCACTTCGTCTAAACATTTTTATGCTACAAACTGCTCGCGTTCGATTGCACTCGCTGCCGTCCACCGCGCGATGGTCGATCGCGCGACCAGGCATTGAAGTCTCCGGATTGAGTAGAGTAACGGGAGATACAGACGCTACAGAGAGCAGATGTGCCGCGCGCATGAGCGCCGCTGCCGCTATCGTGACGGTTCACTTTTACTCACTAAAAAGGCGATCGGATTTTTTGAAACGCTGTAAAAATAATATTTTAGAATTTCCGTCGATGCGATGGTGATCGAAGATTTTTCAACGAACTGAATAAAATATAATGATGTGATAGAAAACACGTGATATTAATGGAAACGTTGAAAATTAATCAGAGACTTCAACCGCGCGACGGTGTCGTCCGCAGCCACAAATGTTACACGAGTGTCGAGTGTCGAGATAATCACATAGGAAAAGCATAAAAGAATTCCTCCTCGTACGCGCATCGGGAGCAACGGCACTTCCGACATGTAGCATCCGTTTTTTCCGTCACGTACTTCTGCTTTTAGACAGGTCGTGGCTCGCAACGACTCGTCGTCATGCCTACTGATGGCAAGTCGGATCGTACGAAGCCTGCGCGAAAGTCAAGCCGTATCGCGTGCGGATCACAGATCTGTTCAGAGTATATGACCGCGCCTAAAAGCTGCTCATGAATTTATTCAGCGATCGAATACCTTAGTATACGTCTCGCTATCATTCTACTCGGTCTGAAGACTCTCCAATACTCGGTCGCGCTCTTGCAGCCACAGCCGTATAATTTCCGAATCCTGCTACAAGATTATTGCCATTGTTTGAATAGTCCCTATAAAATATAATTCTTATAATTATGCACATCTCTCCCAGGAGATTTACCTCGTTATTATTTCAATACATTTCCTATTTTATAAATTTAGATAATGCTGACACACAGACAGACGCAGCAATCAGACCAGGACAGTAATATATCTTAAAGAAAAAGTCCCGCAAGAAATCGATATCGTAATGAACGAACACGCTGAAGAGTAGCGCGAGCAGAGTGGAAAATGCGAGTTGCATTCTGCAACTTTCTTTCGCGGCGCGAATAAAGGATAAGACGAGATCGCGGAGTATATAGGTTTAGAGCGTAGCGTCTGGCGTTAAACCAGGAACTATCACGTGCGCGAGTATAAAGGCCCTGGGGCGCGTGAGACCCCTATAACAGGTCACTGCCATCGAGAGAAGCAAGCAGGTTCGAAGCACTGAATCCCTTTGCCGGAGAAGGGGAGCCTGTTTATCCGTACTGCGCTTACACGCACATACCGACACGCGCGCGGTGCCATCTGCGAATCGATGGATCGCGCATCTCGAGCACGAGAAACGTTGCGCTCTTGTCGAACTTCTTTTTGTTCGGATACTACAGACTAATATGATAATGATAATGATGATGATGATGATGATGATGATGATAATGACGATACCGTTCCCCGTTAACACGAATACGCTCGTTTAATGAGCCTGAGGCTGGGGAGAGACTATCGTTCGCTACTTTTGCATTCGAACGACGCGACACAGTTGTGTCTCTGAGAAATCACAAGCGGAGAGCCTTTTAACGCAACGGTATAATCGTTGACTCTTGAATTACATCGCATTAAGCGTCGTGCGAATTACTTTATTACACTAGAGAGAACTCGTCCAGTACTGTTTTCAGCTTAGGCAACGGTAACCCGGCCACCCGGTATATGTGCCCTGCTCTCCAAGGATGGAGCAATGTTCCGCGCGATTGCGAAGCTCATCAGCGGGAAAAACGACGCAGCGACAATTCCACGCGTCTTAATCTCGGCTGCAGTCTTGCGAGACTGAGGCCGAGGGTGATTGCGGTATACGAAACTTCTTGGGAACATTTCCGTGGCGAGAAGTTGCGTGTAGCTGCTGCTGCAGCTACAAGCTGCACGACGATCGTGTGCGGAGTGAATTGTAACGAACAGCGGGGAGAGGGCATGGGCACGTATAAGTTGGAAATATCGAAATGCGTGCGGAGTTATGTCCCAGGCGAAAAGACTTTCACGAAATTACGCTAATGCGCCTGTTGCACTTTCCTTCGTAAACCACGAGGTACATATATCAATTTCTTCTTGCGCAAAGCCGCCTCGCACTGCATTTCTCCTCTTAACGCGAACACTGAAAGCCGACACACAGCCACATTCCCAGCTATCACTTCGTTGTTACACATTTTTTACGGGTAACAACGTACCGCAAGTTGTTACGGCTGCACGAGCGCGTATGGAAAATGCGTTGGAAATGGATCGATTCATCACTGCTAAGCGCGGTAAAATTGATGAGCGTACTCTAATAATAAACGACGGAGCCTGTACTATTCGATATATCGTCGGTAAAATTCACCCACGACAATATGCGATACGATGATTATTCCGATAGACTTCAGTAAAATAATCGTGGATGGAGACGAAAGACACAGATCGTGAAAATCTGATTAAACATGAGGAAAGATCTATTTATCTTCTAAACCGGTGCGGGAGAAATTTCTACTCATTTATTACTCACGGAGGAACCGTAAATATTGAAATAGTGCATAGTGGTCAACTTCCTGCTTCGTTAACTGTGAAAATAATTTATCGTACTAACCGGTTTACAGCGAGCCGGCCGAATAAAAGACGCTTCTCATTACGCGATAAGCTTTCGAGGCTACGTAAAAACTGCCAATTTATCTCTGCGAGAAGTAGGAACGCTGAGTGCGCACCAGTTATCTTCCCGCGCATTTCTACCGTGCAAAAAATTTCGATGTGCTTCTTTTTCGCCCGAGCATATTGTTCGATAAACTGCGAAACATGATGTGTCCGTTACATGCGAGGTATAAGCTTCGACGACATATAACATAGCCCGAGGGTACCATCTTCCTGGAAGCCGGAGAAATTGTTCCTTGCTGGTCCGATTTTTACCTCGCACGCACATCCTGTGCGCAAGCGCCCGCGCAGGATTCGCCGAATTCATGTTACCACAACTGAATAACCTCTTTACGTAACGTTCCGCCAACGTTGCCGACGATATGGCTGCGGAATAAATTAAACATAGGCTGACGAGGTATTGTAAACGAGCTGTCTCGTAAAATAAATATCCCTCTTATGCAACTGGAAATCGAGAGATGTATTATTCTGTGTGTCCTAACACACAAAGTTACGCAACGAGAGAAAAATTTTAATTGTTCTTCCATCTTTACATCGCGCAGAAGAGAGCTTTACGAATCTTTAGAAATTATACCATATATCGCGTCTTATCTGATAATTAGACATCTCAATTAATAAATTTAATTAATAATTAGACACCCTAATGATTAAATTTAATTAATAATTAGACATCCCAATGACTAAATTTAATTAATAATTAGACACCCTAATTATTAAATTCTCGTGATAAGACAACAGATACTCTGCTCTTTCTTCCAAGAAGAGGAAAGAGGCGGATGCAGTAGATGGATAACATGACAATATGTATATTCTATGAATTGTGGAATGAAAATCGTCTCAGTACATCGATGGATATAATATGTTCTTTAAGCACGCTTACGGCCGTATAAACTGCTGTACGTTTAAAGGGGATTTCCAGCTTCCATGCTTCCAGCGACTTTAGTCGAACAATGGAGGAAAATAAGAAAAAAGATATGAAAACTTGTTGTTACGATTATTATTGATATCGTTATTATATCAATATTATTGTTATTGTTGTTATTACTGTTGTTAGTGTGGCATCCGACGAATAACAATACAGTATGCACTCGGGATCGCGCGTGTTACAGGTCGTTCCCGCGCGGAATCATCTTAGCAACGACATCCTGCGTTCGTACTTTGACAACAAATGATACATAAAACGGTACATAATTGTATTCATCTCAAAAGTGATAATACATATACAAGCTAATTTACTGTCGTTACGTACATACACAATCTCCGATTGTGGCATTGACTGTTCAGTGAGGGAGAGGGCAGGGGAATGAAGAAAACGTCACGCAACATCTGTGATTAGGCGTACGCGAGATTATCAAAAAAAATTCGTATTCTGCAATAATTATTATCGATACGATTTGCGCCAATGTTGGGAAGAGAAAAGAAAAAAGTAACTCTTTCGTGCTGGCGGTCCAAATTCGAGAAACGAAAGCTCTCACATATCGCGATCCTTGTTTTTGCCTTCCTTCGTTTTTCCTTCATCCTGCGTTTTACGACGACGGCAGAGTCGAGGGTCTCGTCCCGTCGCTCGCAAACACACTGAACACACTGAACTGATCAAGGCGTGATACGAATAATGCGTGATAACGATGCGATAATGTCGGTTAATTAAATAATTCATTAATTAACGGGGCTAATCCATCAGTAAGGATGGAGCGCTGCTAGACCCAATCTCGGCGGCTCGGCGTAACTGTAGCGATATCTACCGAGCGCCGGGGCCATTTCCAACGCTGGTCTGGCACTTTCACGATCGAGTCCAGGGTATCTCTCGTGCTCCGACAGTTCCTGGTAGGTCGTGCTCCTCGTTCGTAATTTGTCGCGGAGTTCCCGCGAGTGCTGCGTGCGCTGCTCGCGAAAGTCTCGCATCTGTGACAATGAGCGAACGCGCAAGGCGTGATGAATGCGAATACGATTGCCTGACAGTGCAATTCGTAAACGGTGTCGCTTACTTCTCTTTGATCAACGGGGTTCCTCTGATCTCTGAAATCCCTAGCCGTTGACAAGTCCTCGTAGAAGCTTTTCGGTCGTGGCCTCGAAGTTTCCGTCTCGGGCGGACGTTCAATCGCGTAATGATGAGTCCTTGGTCGCGGTCTGCCCTTGTATGACACGCCATTCTCGCGGTCCAGCGCGTCCGCCTGATTTCGTCTCATCACGTGCTCGTGCGAGGACACGGAGTTCATACTCGCCGGATACTGGCGACCGGATCGGTCGTCGTGAACTTGTCTGGCTGATTCGACCCTGTCAGGTAACATTATAACTTGATGAGTTAGTGACAAATTATGTTCAGCACCTCGGTGAGGTGACTAACTTTTAACAGACTAACTTAAAGAACACAATATTTCCCAATTATCGCCTTGTCAATCATCTGACAGATTTATCGGAACTGCGAGATGTCCTTCAGACGGTTCCTTTCTTTAGAAAAATAAGATCCGACCGACTAAATACGAGCCGCGCTTTACACTTTTGAAAGAGAAAGAGAGATTTCCTGTTAAAAGCTTCACGGAATGTGGAAATGTGGTACCGACGCTAACTGCAATTTCCATCGACCGAACACGCATCGATCCGTACCCTTATAAATCCTCTCGTAGGAATGCGTTTGATCGGTGAAATTGTTCGTTATCTCTCTAAACCCGTTTCGAACGTGGAAAGCTGCGCACAGCCGTATACGTGCAAAACGAAACGCGCGACGACGAAACAGTCGGCGTCGTGTTTGGATCTCTGCACCGATACAACGACAACGCATTCCGACTTTTACTCACGATCGGCCCGTGCACGAGCTGTCCCATGCACCCGCTGAGTGTTTTACGAACTACAAACTCGCTGGTCGAATTTCCTCTTTTCCTTTTTTTTTTTGCAGCGGAAGATAAGCTCTTCGCCGCGGTGCTTCGATTTTCATTTCGCGCGCTTCAACGGGAGCTCTCTCAGCCGTTTTTTATGGAATATTCGAAAGTCGTGAGTTGTCTCTTCGACACGGCGCCCAGCACACACCGTGCACATCGATCACGCTACGTCGGCGACAGTCGCGTCGTCGCGACAAAATCATCGACCCCAGCAATCACCTGTGAACAGGATGATGCTCGGCGTCTCGTTGCCTGGAGAGAACGGGTCTGGCGATGGCCTCCCTCTCCATGGCCCTAAACATTTCCTTAGCATCTTGGAACCTCTCTCTAGGACTGGTCACCTCGCTGGGATTGACTCTGGGCTGGTATTGAGGACTCGGCGATCGCTGTCTGAATTCTGCCGCTCTTCGGTTCCTGTTGCAGTTCGGCGAGACTCCCCTGTTCACCTGGCTGGCCAGTCTTTCCGGGCTCCGCGGTAGCCGCGGCAACGTCAAGCTCGACGCGGCCGTTTCCACTTCCGGCAGATAATCATTCTCTTCGTTTGGCGCGCCCCAGTCGTCATCTGGAAAGATCGTTGTCGAATTACAGATCTTATCGCAACCCCTGGCACGCTAAATCTTACAAAAATAGAACAAAACAAAGAGAAATGTACCGCGCGTGAGAAGCCTATCGCGAGTTAATTAATCGTCGCTCGCTTAATTGCGCATTGACACTTGCGCGATCCAGACTATCCTCCACGAGTACTACGTTCCTCCTGCACCGTACGTGACAAATTCCGCCGAGCATTTCCCCACTCCGGGCGACCCGCGGTAAATCGGTCGGCGTAATTCTCGCGGAATCTGGCATCTCGATGAGGTCAGGAAGATTTAAAGAGCGGTAGCGGGCTACGGGGCAGTGGAGGTGAAGGAGGGGGGAGGGCACAGATGAGATTCGAGGAGACACGTGGAGGAGAAGGAGGAGGAGGAGGAGGAGGAGAAGGAGGAAGAGGAGTCTGAGAGGTGCCTCGGGCTGTGGGCCGAGAATGCGGAACTTTATTCCGTACATGTGGCCTCCCACGAGGTCGACTCACGCACGAATTTACAAGTGCCCGCGTCGTCGTCCCCGTCGTCCTCGTCCTCGTCGTCATCATCGTCGTCGTCGTCGTCGTCGTCGTCGTCGTCGTCGTCATGGTGGCAGGGTCTCATCATCATCGGTATGACTGTCATTATCCGTCGCCGTAACAGCGACGACACGGGGCGCGCTCACGGCCTCTGTTCTCTCGGCCGCGCGCGTGGAAACGCGCCTTCAAGAGAGGCTCTTTGCGCAACGACCCGCCGTAAAACGGAGAGGCGGAGTGCCGTTACTGTATTAGGTAAGAATCGTCGGGTGAAGTCAATCGCGTGCGGGATCCCCTATTGGTCGTCGCGAAATTTCAATGCGTCGCGTCGCGGGCGATGCAGCGTGTCGAGAGGTCGCGCGGGCGTTCCGATCGCTCGTTCGACGTTCGCTTGACGTTTGATTTCGAGCGGGTCGGTGCAATAATTTCGGAGACGACTCGCGGACGACGACGCGATCCGACTGTCCGTTTCGTTTTCACGCTTTTCGACTCCGCTGTCGACAGGCGGCATAACGGCGCGGTATATCCCGTTGAGATCTTACACTCGCGCGCAATAAAGCATCGACGACCGCGTAATTGATTAGAGCCACTACGAAGCGATAAGCCGATAGATCTAATCTCCGGCTGAAGTCTCAGCGCGCTGCGTTAGAACAGTCTCTCTCGCGCGGAATATACAGCTACGTCATGCGTGTGAGGCGACGCGTGCGTGCGCGATAGGCGCACTAAGTGTGTCATCTCTCTTTACACCGCGAGCATTTCTGGCGGAATCGGCCGCCATTCGCACGGTAGTGTGAGAATGCCAAAATTCAAGAGCGTGAACGTGACGGAAAAGATGCATCTCTCTCTCTCTCTCTCTCTCTCTCTCTCTCTCTCTCTCTCTCTCTCTCTCTCTCTCTCTCTCGCTCGCTCGCTCGCTCGCTCGCTCTCGCGGCTGGGATGATTTTTTTTCTCCGACCAAAAGTGACGCGCAGAGAGAAAGCTCCGATAATCATTGGCCGTTGATAATTACTGAACATCGTCGCTTATGAACAAGTCTCTCTCGTTCCGCAGCTGGAAGAATACTCTTTCTTTCCCCCGCACAAAGCGAAGCGCGCAAAGAGAAAGCTCCGATAATCATTAGCCGATTATCTCAGACCATCGTCACAATACTTATGAATGAGAGTATCGTAACTGGGCTAAGATTCGCGAGACATCGTTCCTAGGTGAGAGACGACGCTGAGAGAAATCCGTCGGGGTAATTCGGTTATGTTCGCGATGACAAGCGGCTGATTGTTCTCGCACGCGGTCGAAAATATAATTGGACCTCGACGAGCGTCTCCCGCTCGGTGAAACCCTCCATCGCGTGCGCCGTCAGTTGACACAAACCAAATCTTCCCGCCCCATCCCGCCGCTCGTGCCCGACGATTATGATGACAGCCGACTCGTCGTCGTTGATGCACCTCCGACCGCACGAGTAATAAGGCTCACCGTGAATTCTCACGAACTTCTGCGCCCTACTTGTCAACGACGGCGTGCCGATCGACAGTATCGAGGTAATGGCACTCGGCGACCCCGAGCGCCGGCCGATCGCGCCAATGACACATTCAATTTCAAGACATCGCCTGGCGATCACGACCTGCTGCCTATTGTGTTGCTGCTTCACAGAGCAGGGATCAGCTTCCGGGTGGTAGCTGGAATACGCTCGATCGATTCCGAGTACTCGCCAAGTCCGTCGCGAAGCTGTCGCTGAGCTCACGCGCTGAGCCCGGTTGTTTAATCTCGCCACGGCGCGTCTTCTTTCCAAGCAAATCGGCCACCGGCTGCTTTTTGCGGCCATGCATAGAGGCCCTGGAGCCAGCCGAGATACGTACACCCATAAGCCGTGGTACCTGTCGCTGACACGACGTCCTAACGGTATTCCTTCCACTGTAACAGGTGCTCAATACAATCTCTCTCTCTCTCTCTCTCTCTCTCTCTCTCTCCTCCCCCCCTCCCTCTCTCTCTCTCTCTCTCTTCGCCCTCCTCCTTTCTCTCTCTTTCTCATTCTCGCGTACGACAGAGCCGAATATATCTACCAGTACATGGCACGACCAAGAGTACCGGATCTTTCTTTCTTTCCTTCTTCCTTTCTTCTTTTTTCCCTCCTCTCCTTCATCTCGAAATTTATTCACCGACAGTATATGGGTCAGTCGTCCGTTAAAAACACGTTTCTCGCGAGAGAAGAAGGCACGGCCCAGAAGACGAATGCGAGCACCACCAGGGGCTCTCGGAGGATATCGCGGTGTACGCGCATCCCGCGCATACCTAATGCCGCGCATCGCCGCAATTGTAAGATCTCCGCGTCGGATCGCGCGTCGCTTGGCACAAAAGCAAGATAAGGCAAGTAGGATGCCTTCTTCTTCTTTCGCGGTAATAAAGCATTTACCGCGCTAGGCCGCGGATACCCTGTCCCTACCATTGCGTCCTCGTTCTCGCGAGATGGCTGAAAAGTGTATCGCCAAGCAGGTAAATCTCTCTCTCTCTCTCTCTCTCTCTCTTGATCAGATCGTGAGCTTTCGTTGCGGAGGAGACGATGTCCCTCGTGGGGCGGCGGCAATCACGGTTTGTGGTCGATAATCATACCGGAGCACGGATAACCGCGAGAAAAGAAAAAGAAAAGAAAAGAGAAAAGGAAAACTTGGACCGGGTCGGCAGAAAAGTCTAAACAGCAGACGGGAATTATTAAATGCGAGGAAAACGCACGAGTGCACACGCGTGCGCTCAGCGTTGATCCGGCGATGCAGAATTTTTCTGCGCCACCACCGACTCTCCTGCACGCATTTTCGTTGCTGCCACGCCCGGTGATCGACTTTCCACGTTCGGAGACGCGATTTCGCACGTTTTCCTCGCGACGACACGCGGTGCGTGAAGGCATCTCGCCGATGTGAGGATTTCGGGGTTGGCCGAGGTGAAAGTGGACGATTTTATTGTCAAACGGGACGCGCGCGCGCGCGCGCGCACGTTCTGCGGCGGAATCCGGCCGCTGAATTCTGCATTCAATATGACGGCTCGATAAAAAGGAGGGAAAAAAAGCGAGCGCGCTTAAAGACGCGCGACGGACGCGCGAGGCGATTTTTCGTAGCTACTGGCAACTAGGTTACGAGGTCGCACGGTTCGCCACTGCCCAGTTTTCTACGACAGCCGATAAGATTCGAGTCGGCACACGTGGGCACTTGTCCCACGAGTAGAAAGCGCCGAAATTTTTGTCGCTACCGTGCCCGGCGACGATACGAATTTCGCGAGAGCGAGGTGCCGTTTTCGCGTATCCGCGCATTTTCACGGCGAGTGAGGCTCGGGAAATCTTTAGAGATTGGCGAAAATGTTTATTTAAGAGCTGTTTATTCTCGACACGTGCGTAAATCATCCCGAGGGAGAGCGTGAAGTTTATGAGTCGGCTCTCTCTCTCTCTCTCTCTCTCTCTCTCTCTCTCTCTCTCTCTCTCTCTCTCTCTCTCTCTCTCTCTCTCTCGCTTCCCGATGGCCACGAGAGGCCAGACAAATATGCCATTATGTTATTCGTTCTGTTGACGCCACGCACATATGGCTCTTTATAGCTGCGAAGAAACGACCCTCTCGTAATTATTTCCACGCTTAAACGAAAAGAACCGATTTCACCGATCGCGGTAGTTCTCCTCGCGTCGAAACAAATGATTATTGGATGCGCGATCGTTTCCTGCGACGAATCGCGAAAAGAAGAAGCGAGGACTTTCACTTTCGTCGTGCGGCGCCCAGCTTCGGCTTGCGTTATGCGGTGTAATGATGCGTCCAGTCCCAATATCGCCGCGAGATAATTCTAAAAACTTTCCAATTAGCGTGCAAAACTCTGCAATTAGCGTGAATTAGCGGTGTCAATTACGCAAGAATGTCGCGCAGCTTTCGGAAGCGGAGCCTTCGTTCCATCAAATAGCATATTTATGTTGGTTCCCGATCGTCCTCCCGCGGTCGACCTCACTTCTACATCGTCGACTTTCGGCATTTTACGACGCGCGATTTACAGGTCGATCTTGGCGACGCAAACACCGAGCGGAATGTTCAACTCTGACATAAATATACATAAATATACCTCGTGACGTAGGCGATGTTTTCGCGTCAGTTTTAATCTCCACCGCAGTCTGAGCAGAGAGAGAAGGAGGAAGATACGTATGTACGCATGACACAGCGCGATTTTCTCATCAAGTATGCCAAGTAAGAACGTACGTATTGCAACGGAATACCCAGTTTCGCGGTAGTTTGTGTTTACGTCCTGAAAACCTATTTTCGCGACCATGTAATGCCTACGCAACGATGCTCTCGGAGATATTGGCCAATAACGCGGAATTTCTACGCGGCGCGAATGTAATACTCGCGGCGAGTTTCACACTCGCTGGCGCCGCAATTGTCACGCTCGTAGTCAATATTATGCGCGCTCTGCGTGGCTTTCTTGCTTGAAATGGGGTGTTGCATAGTAACTTGACGTAACGGCCGAGCCGCGAAACTTGTCCCTCAATACTCTGCGATTACAACGATTTGTTTGCCAATACCTGTTCTTCGCCCACGTCCCTCTCAGCGCCGGCGCGAGTTCCAGCTCGTTAGGGACGACAAGTTTGTTTAGAAAATTGCACCACAATCGAGAGTTCGGATCGACAACTGACCGAGGAAAGGCATACGAAAGCGAAGATGTGTAGAGTCATCTCGAGTGATCTCTACGAAACTTAAGAATGCCCGATAATTTCTCTTAATAATCCGCGTAATAAAATATTAATTTATAGAACGAAGAGAATCGTTTGTTATAATTCGAAGAACGATTTGGGAATCTTTGGGACCGAAAATTTTGATTTTATTTTCTAAATTTTGCTATCCTTCTTAACCGTTTTCTCTGACGTCAATGGTTCCTCAGATATCATTCTAGGTGTCGAGAGTGACATCGTTTGGTCTGGCTTATCAACTAATCGGACACGACAGCCGGATAGAAGGGTTCTGTCGTGACGGAAATCACTCACCGGAAGATGAGTCTCTGGACGGTCTGGACGGTCTCGGGCCGAGAGGGTGGTGAGTCTGGTAGGGCGGTGGTGTCGCCGCGCTGTCGGATCCTATTCCGCTGCTGGCTGCGCTTCTCGTGCCACCCCTGTCGACGGCCGTGCTACCACCCACGATCGTCTGATTGAGGCAGCGTCTGAACTCAATCCCGGCCAGGTTGCCGCGGTGTCTGTGCACGGTGTCGTAGTCACGCGGCGGCAATAATATCGGCCCGACGTCGTTATCGCCGGAATTACCTCTGCCTGAAACATGACTGCCTGCTCGTATCTGCGTCGCCTTGACACGTATTCGTATGACGCGCGTGGATACGCTGTCTCGCGCTCATTCTTTCCGGCCGATTAAAATCACCGAGTTGCGCCCGTTTTTTTTTTTTTCTTTTTTCCTACGCCAACAAAGCGACATGTGCCCCTCCAGACCTTTCAGCAATTTTGACTGGAATTAATTCTCGAATCTCATCTAATCCCTTGGTTAAATTTCCGTCGTTGAATTCGATCGATTCTGATTCAATCCACAGGGTTTGTTCTCGTTTTACTCCTGTCCTGGTTATTTTATTTCTCACGTATGCGACAAAATATTCGTCTGATCTTACCGCGCACGGTATGCATAATGTCGTTTGACATTTCTGAAAAATATATCCCATATATTTTTCGCATACCTCGTGCAACGGCGAAATATCAAACGAAATGCAAAAGAAGACATTCACCTAATTTCGCCCGCAACTCGGCGGCCAGAGACTCGTAAATGGTCGTGGTTTGGACCGGATCGTGTCTGAGCTCACCGCTGCCTTCGGAGGACTCGGATTCTCTGGTGCTGCGGCCGTCGCTGCCTAGATTGTTGCGGATCCTGCCTTCGCCCGTCGTGACCCTGGCCAAATTGTCGGCGTGTGACGCCAGCGCTTTCAACTGGCCGCCCAACAATTCGGCGGTCTCGACCGAATCACATCTAAAACGGCCAAGAAGCAAAGGACGGGGGTGAACCGAAAGTTCTGCCTGATCCCTTGAGTCATCAAAGCGAGGGAACAATAAATTAAGACATAAATCGAATCCGGTCTCTCATTGGCCTTTTACCCGTAGTAAACGAGCAAATTGAAATTCCTTTGCCTTTTGAGAGGTTGCATCGCACGCACAGCTAAATCGACTGTTTCACAACGATCCACGGAATTCTACACGGAAATAAACCATCGTCGTATTAAGAGACCATGATATTAGAACACCTGTGTGTACGACAAGAGGTAATCTTAGCGTGGGTTAAAGTCGCCCTGTTTGCGGAAAACACGTGGAAAATGCGCATCGTGTTAAGTCGTGATGTAAGCACACGATAAGAAGCAGGATCGGTGTTCCCAGTGAGAAAAATACCGGCTCTCTCTCTCTCTCTCTCTCTCTCTCTCTCTCTCTCTCTCCCTGTCTCTCATTCAGGTCGTCAGTATACTTAACGAAGCTCATCATGGAGTATAATTGTTATTTGCCCGAGCTGTACTACGAAATGCTCTTTAACGGGATTTTCATTGAGCATACCAGGGAGATTGCGCACCTTCGTACTTCGCTCAAACAATCGGTGCCGACCGATCGACGGAGCGGCGTACAGTGTACGTTTTTTGGACAAAAAATGGCTTGCCGACGTAAAAATCAAATAACTTTAACGAATTTTTTTTTTAAATACGGGGGAAAACTGCAGCAACAACGAAGTGCTACGGAAAATTGGATACTTATAAACCTAATCTATAAAAAACGAGTATTTTCGAGTGTTTACAATACTAGAGCCTTAGACTCTTCCAAGTCTACCTATATTTTCATGCTGATTAATCTAAATTACTTATTGTATATTAATTTAAATTACTTTCGTATTTAAGATACCATTCTAGGATGAATGATGAAATGTAACAATGGACCAAAAGGCAGTCAAATCACTAACTAAACCTCATGATGGCATAGTATGCATTCGCGGATTCGATTCCACAATAATATCCCACTGGAATGTTACTACATAAGGGTCAAAGGTTTGAGCACTCAAAGTTGGAAGGTTGAAAGGTTTTGGGGTTAGAGGATGTCGTAAGTTGGGATTAAATGAGGAAATTCTCGAGTTTAACGTCCGAGGATTTCAGAATTTTTATGGATTGAAGTTTCTAACTAAATGTTAGGGTTACAAGATCCTTAAGCTTATGAGTGTCTATCCCGTATGGATTATATACGTTTCTTACGGGTTAAATTCATAAGTACCCAATTTTCCGCAATAGTTCGTTATTGCTGGAGTTTTTCCCCGTATTTAAGGAAAAAAATTCATTAAAATTGGTTGAGTTTTACGCTAGCGAGCGATTTTTGTCCAAAAACATACCCTGTGCGGCGTCGAGCGTTCTCTTTTCAGTCCCGATCGCGAAATGAAATTCGACCGAGACCTCCGAGCTTCGGACCCGATTACCCGAGAAGTATGTAATTAATTATCGTGCCGTTGTAAGATAAATCGTTGAACTAATAGCCCCAATAATCTGTAATTTAATGACAAAGTTGCTCTGAATATATCTAATCCGCTTGTTTCGCTCCGAGTCGATGCAACGCGGTCGGGCGGCGTGACGTGCGAATATTGCCGGGATGCTTATGAAAATCATTAGCGATCCGTTAGAATTACGAAAGTCGTTAATTAGAGAATGAATTGTGGCTTGTAACGTTGCGGTGGTGAGATCAAGGCGATGAACCGAACGACCTTTATTTAACCGCGAATTCCTCACGCCAGACTCGATGTATAAACAACGTGACTGCATTATTACGTTCTCATGCTGCATCTCATAAAAGGTGTATGGAAAGCATAAATATGTAAGATTGCGCGGAAAGAACAAACTCACTATGTACATACACGAGAAATCGATTAATATTTATGTCGAGTCTCAACGCGTTTCTTATTAATGTCTTCAAAAATATTCTATCACGTTATCCGTGTAACGAGAATTTCTCGAGATAAATTAGAAACGAGTCGAGATTATGTTCATGTTTACACGGGAAGAAAGAATATTTGAACTTCGAATGATGAACTTCGAAGACGAGTAATTTCAATACGTGGATAAAATATTAGATAGTCCTGTCTTTACATCAGCGATAGTCTAACGAAACTCGTCGATAGATTGACGGAGAGATGCTAGCTTATATAGATTTGTAATTCCTTTATAGCTGTACATCGACAAAATAACGCAAAAGTAAGAACGTCGATCTGCAAAGGATTCAAGGATCTTCGCTCGCGACTATCGCAGCTGCAAGTAAAGAAATTTATAATTTCATCTATATTCGTTACTTGCCATTGCGACGGTCACGAGAGTTTCCATCTTCGAGCTGTTCGAAAAAGAGAAATATACGAGCGTGTAACTTCAAAGTTACCCGGAAGCGCACTACGGAAGGTCAATTGAATTTCGCGTAAATTTGCGATTGTGGAGTTAATCGATCACGACTGACTACAGTCGACAGGGATTAGTTGTTACCAGCAATCTAGCTTGATCTAGCTTGCGGAATAAAAGAACGTGCGGGGAGCAACCTGTACGCGTGCACGTGCACAGGATTGTTGGTGGCAGGATTCGGCAGGAGCAGAGTCGCGGCCACGATGTCCTCCCGCTGCACAGCTGCCAGCACCGCGTGGCCTGGTACCAAGTGCTTCACCGCCGACCTCGTGGAGCCACCTGGGTGAACCGTCTGTATAATCTTCAGACCTTTGTTGCTCACCTATCAAATATAAAAGCACTCCGTTCACGTCGCTGGTTGCGAAGCGTGCGCGCTCCTTGCGCAAACCGTGCCTTTGTTTGCGCTCTGTGAATCGCGAGAGAGTACGCCGCGATACATTTCGTACAAGCGTTGCGGCATTTGAATGTGTGGCACGCGATATATTAAATGGATGTAGGTTGACACACACACACACTATTGAATACGCACCGTGCGCCGGAATAAGGCCTCGCTGCTTGAATATTTAATAGAAAAACACTCGCCGAGCGCGTCTATGACGCGCGTGTGCGCGCGTGTATAATATATGAACGGCGGATGTATCGGAGACATATTCATTATTAATAAGACAATCAAGGTTTCCCGCCGTAAAGTTTTAGCTCAGTTAATTGCGTTGTTCTTTATCGCGTCCCATCCTGCGCGAGCGCTCGTCCTTGTACTTAAAGAGAGTCACGTGAGAGCAGATATGCCGCAAGAAGGCGTGTGCCGCCTGCGATTCTGTCCGGCACAATGTGTTCCACTTCGCGAAAGCACTTAATTACCGCGTTGTCGATCATCGCGACGATTCGAATTGCTGAAATGCTCGCGAGAATATCTCGCCGCTCTACCTACGGACTCCCGCGTGGACTCTCCTGCGCGGCAATTAGACTTACACAATAATTAGGTGGGCGTTTCGTAACGCGTTGTTTTCTCTCTTTTTCGGCACGACGCCACTAAATGCTAAATCGTGATTTCCGAATAGTAACCAGAAATCGAGTAGTAACCAGAAAGGATCTTCTCGCTCCTCCCACTCAGACGTGATATAATCGATCTTGATGTTTTTGCACTTTTGATACTTTTGCGATATAAAAAACGCGAACGTTAATGGGGTCGCGATATAATCGGGACTCTATTCAAACGCATAAACACACACGCGCACTCTTTCTCTCTCTCTCTCTCTCTCTCCCCTATCGCGGACCGTTATCGTTTTACACGTGATAATCTCCTTTTAACAGCACGGACATCTGGCGAATTCTAATTCGGTGTAGGTGAAAAATTTGCATAATTACGCGAAACCGCTCGCTTCATTTGACACCGTTACCATGTTAAATCATTCTTTGCGCGGTTTAGATCCGACTTGCGCTTCAACGAGATTTATTGCATTACTTACCGGCGACAAGTACGATTTTGAAGCGAGCGAGCGTTGCCTTTTTCAGATGCTACTTGGTATGCGACGAGGTAGCGCGTGCCACGTGCCCGGTTTAACGGTCGCGAAACAGTTTTGGCGAGTCAGTTTATTTTCTCTTTTCCGTATCGAAGGCATCTAGAAAAGCGTACCTTGCTCCGCACTCGTTCCGTGGGAGAGACTCGCGCACGCGCACGCGCGCGAGCGCGGGTCAGTGAATTTATTATTATGTATTTATTCACGAGCGAACTTATCATGTCGCACATACGCGAGCAGAGTCGCCTACTTGAAGGAAACGGTTTCGTCGCGTATGTTCCTTATCGCGAAGCAAGTATAACAATTAATGTATCTTTCTCTTTTTTAAGGAATATAGACAGACGTTCCTCACTCTTTCTTCTCACTTTTTCGTCATCAGTCTCAATCGACAGTCTCGAGGATAACCGAAAATTCTTTAACGGAGACGAGCAAAACGTGTTACATGATGACTCGCACGCTGCGTGAGAACGTTCTCCTCCACCTTCTCCTCCTCCCCCGCAAAACCTATCGCGAATGCGCGTTCCATCGAGGTTAACACATTTCTCTCTATAGCTCCGCCGATTACCAAAAATTCCCACGTTCTCAAATTACGCATTAAAGCGTCGTCAAGTCGCGTCGCAACTCGCCCGTTCTATCGCGATCGATCGCACGCAGGAATCGCGAGGGATCGTTCCGAGAGGAATAAGATAATCGAGCGAGCCAAGAGAACCTGACCCGCGGCTAAGGTCGTAATTTTGCGATTTTTATGCGATCTCGCGAGTGCTTTCACCGGCATATGTGCGGATAGGCAGGGACAATACGAACAAAAGGAAAGGAAAGCACGAGACTACATCGGCGCGAGGACGGTCATGCGGATTGTCGTCGGTTAATCCGTTTCGCCGAGATTTTCGATGCGCGCTGCCAAAACCGGACACCTCTCTCTCTCTCTCTCTCTCTCTCTCTCTCTCTCTCTCTCTCTCTCTCTCTCTTCTCTCTCTCTCTCTCTCTCTCTCTCTCTCTCTCTCTCTCTCTCTCTCAGGATGTTACCGCTCACCTGCAGTGTGACCTTGAAAGGTTCTTGAAGTCGTTCCCGCTCCAGCAGGTAGGCTATGGCACTAGGCATCGCGTCCACCCCTTTGGCCTCTCTCGCGCCGAGGTACCAGACGTAATAGAAGCTTTTCTTGACATCCTTGCTGCCCCTCAGGCGCAGGGCCATCACTCACTATTCACGGAAACAAACGGAATTTCATCATCGCTCTCGGCTAAGGGCACGTGGAGACGGATTGCGAAACGACGGACACGGTGGACACTTTGACCGCCCGTTATCGCGGAAATATTTAACGTTTCTGACGGACTCGTTAGATGAGTTAGCTGATAATTCGCTCGACTTCGTTTTCAGCGGCCTCCTACGGTCGAAAATAAGAAGTGACGCAAATAAGAATTCTCGTCGCACCCTTGTTCTCAATTTACCTAAAATTCGCTCATTTCGTCAAAACGGATTGTGATGAAACGTGGTGACTACATAATTTATCTTCTGATGAAGACACAACGAGGATGATGTAATGTTTGAGATAAAAGGATAACGTAAAGCGAGCGTTTCTATATATATTCTATATGTTTCTAATATGTGTACTTGTGTAACAAACATAGCGCTTTTGAGAGAACGACTATGACAACAAAATTTTCCGTCATCGAAGGCTTTCTCTGAGAAAAGGTACGATCGTAATCGCTGCTTGAGCGATGAAAACCTGCAAGGGCAAGTGTCTCGATTAGCCATCTTTCGCATACCTAGATAACGATACACAAGTAACAATTTGAAGTTGTACAGCGAAGGTTATTGAGTGATGCGAGCGTTAACACGGAACGTGTTTGAGCGCACGCTTGCGCTCGCGGAAGTGTTTAGTCAAAACAGCGGAAACTGCGGATAATGTTACGAGTGTGTGTGTGTGTGTGTGTGTGTGTGTATGCGGAACGTAAACGGATACTATTTCCTGCATATAATTTTTCTCTAACTATACTCCGCCTCTATCGATCGGAGAAAAACGTCCATTTTCCGCGAGCGAGTCTTCCACCGTGCCTACCGTACGAGAAGCGCGGCCAGCCTGTCGGTTCATCCACTTCCTCAATTACTTTCACGCTTAAACCCGTTTCCACGTTATCCATCTAGCAACGAATGGTTTCCCACTGATCCTTTAACGACGGTGCTTTATAAGAAAAATATTTTACGAGATGAAAGTGCACCGATGTGGATGTCACCTTATGAGATATATCATCAAAGAAAACGCGCCGGTATTTAATGCGGACTATCTCAACGGACAATTGCTGCAATTTATTACATCGTCGCTTCTCTTGTGAAACGAGAATTCTTTTACACACGATATATTTTTCTCTCTCACATCGATGAGAGACACCTCTTGTTTAGCAGCACCGACTCGGCAGACTTGATCAGATTCAATTTCACCTCGTATTCGAGATGCGTGCGAGTTTTCTTCTTGGATTCTCTTCGGTCTGACTTTGACGCAAAACGTTTATCCACTACTCGAACGTACTGCGCACGTCCTATTTCCACTTATTACAGCGAGCGTGCATGTCGAATATTGAATATCTCGTTTTGCATTTGCGCGCAAACAGCTTACATTGTCTCAAAAAGAAAAAAGAAGAACACACTCCGTGTGAAGGCGAGAAAAGTAGCGCAAATTCGTAATTTTTCAAAGATATAAAGTGCGATCAATCAGAGCATCTTCGCGCATTCGCGTAACACCGAGCAACTCGCCGTTACTTCAATCGCGTGGAGTCTCGAAAGGCGGAGCGCGTTTTTCTCAGAGCATCGAGGATCTATTGATACTCATCAGGATCGATGTTGGTAGCCCTACTACCGAGGCCTCAGTCCCTGCAGCGGGGAAATGCCGGGGCCCTATGCCTACACTATTGTACGTTGCCACTTGCTTGGTGTGTGTGTATATATGTATATATATGTATATATAAGTGTATATGTATATATACATATATATGTATGCGTGCGTGTTGTGTCTGTGTGTGTGTCTGTGTGTGTGTATCCCGAGGTCTTCGCCTCGCGTTTTACAGCTACCTCGATGAAGAAACAGCAAAATTCGCGTACGGCCCCTCGTCCCTCGCGCATAAAACACACGCGCGCCTCACACCCGTCACACGCACATGCACCGCGCGCACGCACGAGCACGATATGCACACCTGTAACTCGCGGACTCTTCTGACAGCTGCGGGGACCACCGTTCCGTGCACTGGCCGCGTAAGGCCGCTCCGTTCTTCCGGGCGACGCTCGCCGATCTGAACGGCGGAACGAAACGGAATGGAACGGGGGCCAGCGGGCCCCCGCGGGCCCCGTTGGCTCGCGAGGCGAGAGATCGGCTTTTTTTCAAGGCCCCTCTTGACTCGGCTCGCTCACTCGCGCGGCCGGAGACACGCCGAAAGTCATTTCGGCGTATCGACAACGAATTCCACTGCGATGCTGTTAAATATGACGCGTCAACGAGTCTGGAGAAGGAATGAAACTGCTCAACATGAAAGAACGAGGGAGGATGGGAGGGTGGGAAGGAGGGAAAGAAGGTGTAATGATCAGTGATTCTTACGTCTTGCGATTCTATAGCGACCTCTCACGCTTGTCTCGAAGGTGCTCCTGACGTCTTCCGATCTTCTCTGCCCTTTCTCTCGCTCCTCCTTCCACGGGCTCTGTCTGACCGCCACACCTTGTCGAAGATCGGTCTGAGATCGGTCGGCGGTAACGCGTCCCGCGCTTGGAGAAAGAAAGAGAGAGGGCAGCTTCTAACTGGCGCTGTGTCGGACGGATTCCGTCCTGAATTCGTGTCTCGGACCCCTTTCGTCTCTCTCTCTCTCTCTCTCTCTCTCTCTCTCTCTCTCTCTCTCTCCTCCCTCTCTCTCTCTCTCTCTTTCTCTCTCCCCGAAGAAGAAAGAGAGAGGAACGGGTATTTCCTCCCTCCCCCTTCGGCTCCTCTTCCTCCCCCTCGTCTCACTACACCTTGCTCCTTTCTCTCTTTCTCATGCTCTTTCCACTAACATCTAAGGATTATCTACCTGTCCGTGTCTATGTAGCTCCGTTGCTCGTATTTCACCTATCCGCTTGTCTTTATGCCTTCACTGCATCGATCGTACAGGACAGCGGTCTGACTCGATTTGAAGAGAAAGGGAGAAAGGATGTGTGCTCACCTTTGCCTTAATATCTTCTTGTCTTTCGAGGTGTAATGTTGCATCGTGCACCTTTCCTTCTTTTCTCACCGTGCTGCACCCTCACCCGAAATCTCCTGCGGACCCAAGGAAGCAGCAGGGACCGCTTCTCCCCTCCACGTCTGTGTATTATAGACGCCGTAAATGCGCTAGGATGCAGGATGCTGGATGCTTCCACAAGGTATGACGAATAGTGTTCGATGAGTTATGTAAATTAGTCGCCCCGTGGTAATTCGTAGACTACGACGATAAGAATTTATTTATATCAGAAAACCGAGAACCATCGATGATTGTTATTATCATGTTCAAACGATCAGCACCTGACGTAGCATCTGACGGTATCCAACGGTTTCACAAATATTGTGGCGCAATTTTGCAAGTGTTTTTACGGTTTTGTGATGCAAATATTGCTTTATCATCCGACTGAACTGGAAATTTTTAATTAATAAACCTCATATAATTATAAATACAATTATAAATACTACAAACGTTAGATGTTCCTTTTCGTAATTATATCTCTATTTACAGGAAACTGTTCAAATATTTTTATAATAACATCTCTATCAAGATCGACTGCGTAATTTTTAGTTCCGTAAAGAAATTCAACAAGCATTAACTCTTATTAAGTATTCGGCATACGGTTACTGTTAATGAGACCTTTCTATTAAAAGAGGTCATGAGCGATTTATTGTAAGTAAAATAGACAATTCTAATACAGAGAGGAAATTGTTACGAGGAGATAACTTTATTCTCTCCAAATGAAAACCTCGACGTTCCGCAGTATCATTTTGCAGTGCTCGTCACTAAGTTGAGTCATTAAGTCTATTCAAAATTTTTGTAACGACGGGAAACGATTTTTGTGGCGATTTTCAAACAATACGCTCTGAAACTCATGAAAATGAGTTTGCGTAAACATAACATGAAGTGTATCTTCGTGGTTATTCGAGAGACCGTGTCGCAGGAAAAGATAAAGGAAACTGGAAGAAATCACGTCGACGTTGAAACATTGAGCGTAGGGAAAGTGCACCGTCGATAATAAAACTCGCACACGTCCATACGAAGCAGCTGTTGGCAATTCGTAGAATGTAATGCGTTTCTTCTGAAATTAGAAACTCTATCCGATAGAAACTTACACCCCGAGATTAAAATCGAGAAGATCGTTGCTTCTAAACGCTTTTCCATTCAAATAAAATTGTATCATTTCAGACCGGCTTACCGTGAATGGAAAGGAAAAGTACCGTAATAAAATAAACGTCACTTAAAATAAATGATGGTACGAGGTAAGCTTCTTGTCGCAATACATTTCCCCGAGGAAGATGAAGCCACTGGTGGGAATAGCGGAAATAATATACCTCTGTCGAACAATGAAATTGCTTACATTGATGTCGTTTTACAGTGATATACGCGCAGAGCGGAACTCATTTTTTGACCTTACGACGCGAGCGATGTTAATACCAGCCAAGCTCATAATCTGAGAAATTCCTTAAGCGTGATTAAATGTCGAGAAGTTCTTCTATTACGGTACCAACGAGGAGGATATAGAAAGTTACGATGTCACGTAATGCAAAATTGTAGGATTGGATCCTGGAGTTCCTGCGAGAATTCTGCGACTTTGAATATAAATTGAGGAGAGAAAAAAATGGAATGCATGAGCAAGATGTAATAAAATGTTGAGGGAAAATGCTTCCACCTATTTTGTCCTCTGAATCATTAAATTGAATATTTAAACTGAATATTTTAAAATATTTTAAAAATAGTACAAGGAAAGTCTCATTAGTAATGCTGCTGCGTAAACAAATCAAGAGTTCGACACGAATCATTGTGTCGACAGTATGCGTACGCAAATAAAAGTCAATCTGTTAACTGCTCGCCCGATAATTGTTAGTAAGAGAAACCTACGTGCGAGAAACGGTAAGACTCACCTTTAGCCCTGACATTTCGCCAATCGTACGAGATCACGTGATTTAATTTGCATTATTCCTGTTAGTATTGGGTTGGCAAGAAAGTAATTTCGGTTTGCGCCAATAGATAGCGCTATGTTTGTGTCGTTATTCTTCTGTCAATGTTATAATTTTTTTCTTTTCAGATTTGGTAGTTGACACTCTTAGGTTACTATAGAAACAAATTCCGTGTAATTTTGTTTACAACTGTTGGTTTACGGTCAATTTTAACATGGAGTGCAAAAATGATCATTTTCGACATATTTTACTTTTTTATTTTCGTAATGGCAAGAAAGCGGCTGAGGCTCACAAAGAGATATGTGAAGTTTATGATGTTAGTTGAATAACAGAACGCACGTGTCAGAATTGATTTAAAAAATTTCGTTCTGAAGATTTTTCACTTAAAGATGACCAACGTTCTGGCCGACCTTCTGAAGTTGATGAACACAAAATGAAAGCCATAATTGAATCAAATCGTCAAATAACTGTGCGAGAGATTGCAGAAAGGTTAAATGTGTCACACAGAACAATTGAAAATCACATAAGACGCCTTGGACTCGTTAAGAAGCTGGATATTTGGGTTCCGCACGAATTGAAAGAAATTCACTTAACACAACGGATCAATATTTGCGATACGCATTTCAAACGTAATGCAATCGATCCTTTTTTGAAGCGAATTATCACTGGTGATGAAAAATGGATCGTCTACAACAACATTAATAAAAAAAAATCATGGTCCAAGCATGATGAACCGGCACAGACCGTATTAAAAGCTGAATTGCATCAAGAAAAGATCATGCTGTCAATTTAGTGGGATTACAAAGGTGTTGTGTATTTTGAGATGCTTCCAAGCAACCAAACGATCAACTCAGATGTTTACTGCCAATAACTTATGAAATTGGAGGAAGCAATCAAAGAGAAAAGGCCAGAATTGGCAAATCGTAAAGGAATCGTGTTCCACCACGACAATGCGAGGCCCCATACATCTTTAGCAACACACACGAAATTATTGGAGCTTGGTTGGGAAGTGATGTCGCATCCTCCATATAGCCCCGACCTTGCACCATCGAATTATCATTTACTTCGAAGTTTACAAAACTTTTTAAACGGTAAAAATTTCAACAACAACGATGATCTCAAATCGCATTTGGTTGAGTTTTTCGCTGATAAAGACCAGCAGTTCTATGAGCGCGGAATCATGAAGCTACCAGATAGATGGAAAAAGGTCATCGAACAGGATGGAAAATATTTGACCGAAAGTTCATTTTTTGTATAGAAAAAATTGAGTTTTATTTCACACTAAAAAACCGAAATTACTTTCTTGCCAACCCAATATATGTTAACATGTTCCTCATTCCTACGTTCTTTTATGTAGTACACAGCCATCTTAACAAAAATTATTTCTATATTCAATCTCGCAGTAATCTCGCAAACGGTACATTACAAAAATGTTCTATAGGAAATTACAATTGAAAATGACATACCCATACGGTGTGTATTATTTGAATAGGGAGCATAAAGACAGGCGTTCTGTACAAACGATATCTCACCTTTACATTATTCTAAAGTAAGACTTATTCTCTTATCATTTCGAAGTCAACATATGATATCATACGCACATATTCACGCGCATTCGCGCACGTGCGAGCTTGCACAGAAAATTTTTTTTCAATATTTTTTTATATGCTTTCAAGCAGCTATTATGACTTCTCTACATCGTAACATTATAATAATACTGCTCAGTAATAAAATTTATACGCATGTAATACGTATGCAATATTATATATGAGAGAAAGAATAATAGCATTCGTTATATGCAAATATGAATGTTGGAGCGAAAATGCATCTCTCTATAATAAATTTACTTAAGTTATCATAATTATCATAAGTCATTATCATCGATCGGTCACTTCCTAGACGTTGCAGTAACTGTTACCGTTCATACGTAACAGCTATATCAATCCAAACATCACGACGACCGCTGATAAACCGTTGCTATGCACAACGTAGCAAAAATGATCTGCAAGGCAGATATTATGAAATTGTTTCAACTGGAAACCTTGATACGTGTAGTTTTATAATACTTGCCCACATAGATATAGATTATTATAAACAGAAGGAAAAAAAAATTATTCCTCGGTTGTTCGGAATGACTCTACAAGATATAAATAAATGTAAATAAAATTAATAGTTAAATTGTCACGTAGAATAAGACTCATGAAATAAAAGAGCTGAGTATGTTAAAAACGACTACTTTACGAAATTGAATAAAATTAATAGTAAATAAAATTAATAGTTAAATAATAAATAATAAAATTAATAGTTAAATTGTCACGCAGAATAAAACTTATGAAATAAAAGACCTGAGTATGTTAGAAACGACTATTTTGTGAAACAAATTAAAAAGCTTCCAAAAGTTTATTTAACCTGCTGATCTCTTAAAGCAGATTAATCAATTCAAGAAGATCAAGGGGTCACTTTGAGGATGTAAAGTCGAATAATTACGTGAATCTGAGAAACTTTCGGCTCATGTAATATACTCTTACATTGGAACTTTATCACAGTGGGCGCGTATTGCCGTTAAAAAATATTCTCTTTAAAATTTTGCACATCTCTTTTCTCTGTACAATAATCATGAAAATATGTCGTCACGTAGTGACTGTGTTTAGTTTACAGTATGGACTATATTTACACGTAATTCTTCGTTTTCGACGTCAGGATGTAATACGGCTGCAGTAACGAAGATATAGTTACAATTAATATGATATCGATCTTTGACCGCATTGCAATAGAAGTATATTACATAGAGCGAATGTATATTGATAAGACTTGTAATATGTAAATCACTCATTGACTTCCGTAATAATATAAATACAATTATAATTATCTCTTACGTCTTACGATAGTGTTTCTCCGGCCAAATACTTATATGTGTTTCCTGCATATTATGTGTGTGTGTGTGTGTGTGTGTGTGTGTGTGTGTATAATTATTTAAATATAATTATTTAAATGTATAATTGTATATAATGTGAAAATGTGAACGACTTCATTTAGCTTAACTCAAAATAAATATTTGAATTGTTAGGAATATGTTTTCGTATTATATGTATAAATATACAATATTAATTTTATATGTACACTATATTTTACACAATAATTTTAAATTAAATCAAGGTAAATGAGGTCGTTCACATTCTAATGCAAATATCCCTTTGTACTTTATTATATAGGAAACATTTCGAGTCGCGACAATAAAATGTTTAGCATACAATAGTTTCCAATCACCATGCCGAAATACTTTGCATACGGTACTATTTTTTTATATAAACCGTTCCTATCTATTTGGCCATTAACGTGCGAACATCAGACCATACTATTAGAGACTTCAAATATACTAACGAAGAAAAGTAACATCAGAAGTTAAGGTTGTGCCATAGATGTGTAAATAGAAGGTCAATAACGCTGGAAATAGTGTATCTAACCTAATTAAAGCTAAACAATGAATCGCGACGGGAAAACCGCACTCTTCGAGTCTGGAGATGAAATCGTTATTTCCGGGATCGCAGGCAGATTTCCTAAGTCTGACAACATCAAGCACCTTCAAGAGAATCTACTTAACAACGTAGATCTCGGTTCGGATGACTGTCAACGTTGGCAACACGGTGATATTTTCTTAAATTTTATTACTGAGAGAGGCTCGATGTATTGCGTATTATAGAAACTAATATGTTTTTTTTCGTTTGTAACGTGGCTAATATACAGAACATATGGACGTGCCACGACGCACGGGAAAGGTCAATAATATCGAGAAATTTGATGCGGAATATTTTGACATGCCCTTCAACCAAGCCCACCTGATGGATCCTATGTGTAGATGCCTCTTAGAACATACGTACGAAGCCATCGTCGATGCAGGAATAAATCCAAAGGATTTACGTAATACCAAAACCGGAGTGATTGTCGGAGCGTGTTACACTGAAACGGAGAGGATTTTCTTCTATGAAAAAGTACAGGTACGAACTATTTTGTTCATAATCAACGTACACTAGAAGATCTACTTAAATATTGGCATCATGAATATCTTCAAAATTATGAAAAGCACATAAGAATAATCATCACTCAAAGTGTACTCAAAGCAACAGGGGAATGTCAAACAGCTTGCGTGCGAGATTGCATGCAAGGCATTAAGAGTTATCGAACCATTTAGCAAATATTTAACTTTAAAGAAAAGTTCATGAGCAATTAACTATAGTAGACTGCGAGGAATAAATACTAATGTTTACATAAGAGATACAGAATGAATATTCGATATTTTAACATACGATAAACATATATGACATAATTTCGTAATCATTGCCACAGGTCGCTGGTCTTGGATTACTAGGCATCAAGAGTATGCTAGCAAATTTGATTTCTCGCTGGTTAAGCCTCAAAGGACCGTCTTGTCTTATCGATACCGCCTGCAGTTCAAGTCTTTCCGCTATGGAACGCGCTTACAGAATAATTCGATCTGGAGAGTGCGACGCTATGATCGTTGCTGGGACAAATCTATGCTTGAATCCTTTCATATCCTTGCAGTTTGCGCGACTTGGTACTTGATATTAACATTTCAGTACATTTTCAGAACTTGGGAGATGAAAGATTTTAGGGAGAAATATAACCAAGTATACTTGATTCAAATTTTACTTTACAATTGAACATTTTCGACTTCAGGTGTTTTATCGCCTGACGGATTCTGCAGACCTTTCGACAGAGATGCCAATGGTTACATGCGCAGTGAAACAATCGCAGCGGTTTTCCTTCAGAAAGCGAAGAACGCTAAAAGAATTTACGCATCTGTGGTGTATGCCAAGATGAATTGCGACGGATTCAAGGAGCAAGGCATTACTTTCCCATCGAGCGAAATGCAAGGACGTTTACTTGAAGAGTTTTACAACGAATGCGGCGTCTCGCCGTCTTGCATTAGTTATCTAGAAGCTCACGGTACCGCTACGAAAGTGGGCGATCCGGAAGAAGTTAATGCGATAGAGAGGGTTTTCTGCAAAGATGAACGTAGTCCCCTCTTGATTGGTTCCGTCAAGTCCAACTTGGGTCACTCTGAGCCTGCCAGTGGCATGTGCCAAATTGCTAAGGTAGAGTAACAGTCCTTAATAATTAAGTAATAATAATAGATAATAACAATAATTGTTGAATCTATATTTCCAAATTTCAAAATATAAACAATAACATTATATATATATATATATATATACACATATATATATATATTTATTTATTTCTCATTTTATCGTAGTAAACTATATAAGTAGAGTAACAAAAGTTCTTTTTACAAAATTCATCTTTCCGATAAGGTGGTGATAGCAATGGAAATTGGCATAATCCCACCAAACTTACATTTCACAAAAGAACGAGATGATATTGAAGCTTTTAAGACAGGGACTGTACGAGTCGTGACTACTCCGACAACATGGGAGCCTACTTTAGTGGGTATAAATTCTTTCGGTTTTGGCGGGGCCAATACTCACATTTTGTTAGAACCTAATATGAAGCAAAAAGTCAACGGTGGGGCACCAAAGGACGATTTGCCAAGACTCGTCGTCCTGTCCGGTCGTACCGAACAAGCAGTGGAGTCATTCTTACGTGAGGTAAGTAAAAATTGTGTCAGTTAAAAGACAGAAGTCTGCATTCATGCAAAATACGTCCAATTTAGATTGAAAGTCAATCGGTAGATGTTGAATATATTCGGTTGTTGCACGACCTCCATGCGGAAGAACTTCTAAATCATCCTTACAGAGGTTACACGATTGCTGAAAACCAAATATCGAGCAACGTAACAAGCGAAATACATCATTATGATGGAGTAAGAAAGCCAATTTGTTTCGTGTTTCCCGGCATTGGATCCCAATGGCTTGGCATGGGTACTTTCCTTTTTTCCTAAAAATTTACGAGCAAAGTGATTATATTTATTATTATTTATTAACAAATCTGGATTTACATGTCGATAGGAGAAGCATTACTACGATTTCCAGCATTTTCTAAGGCTGTAAAAGATTGTGACGCCATTTTAAGAGCTTATGGGGTAAACATCATCAACATTTTAACAAGTAAAATGGAAGATACCTTCGATAGCATATTAAACTCGATTGTAGGGATCACCATGATGCAGGTGACAAATATTTTTCTTTAATAACTATTGTACTTATGGTAAAAATCAATATCACACACATATAGACATAAGCACACAATAGCTACCGCCTCACATATTAGTTCAAAATTTATTTATTACGTTAAATATTCAATAAAAAAAACATGTATACACTAAATGCTCTTTTTTATTGAACATTTAACGCAATAAATCCAGAAATGGTGGTAGCTTTGCTTCTACAATTCGATTCACAAGAGATAACTATTTCATATCTTACTCTAGCTTGGATTAATCGACCTCTTGACTTCTGTGAATATCGTGCCAGATTATGTTATCGGTAATTCAATCGGTGAACTCTGTTGTGGATACGTGACAGGCGAATTCACAGCCGAACAAGTGATTTTATCCGCTTATTACATTGGACTGGCATTGAGTGAAGTAAAAACAATTCAATGCGCCAAGGTGGATATTGGTCTGGACTATAAAAGTCTGAAGGCCATATGCCCGGCAGATATCGAAATAATCTGCAGCTATAGCCCGAATGCTTGTTCCATAAATGGACCGATAGAGTCAGTGAAAATATTCGTTACAAAATTACAGGTATCCATTCTTACTTAAACGCATATTGTCTGGCACACTATATTACATTGATGGAACTGTTTATCTATTTTACAATAGGATAGCAAGGTTCCTACAAAGGTAGTTGCTTGCAGCAATATTCCTCTCCATACTTCTTATCTTGCCAATGCAACGCCAAGGATTTCGTCTTATTTGTACCAAACGATATCGCAAAAGATGACTCGCAGCCAGATATGGCGCAGATCGCCTTGCGATTATAACTTATCATACGCAGAATACTTTACCAACAGTTTAGTGAATCCTATATTTTTCGAAGATGTCGCGAAAATGATTCCGGAGAATGCAGCGTTCGTGGAAATTGCGCCGGATGGAATTCTGCAGGACATCTTGAATAAAATTTTCGATACGACAACCATCACGTTGGCTCAACGCCATCACGAAGATAACGCTAAAGTATTTTTGCAAGGACTCGGCAAGATGTACAACTGTGGCTCGCAGCCGCAATTAGCCAATCTCTATCCGGCTGTAGAATTTCCGGTTAGTCGCGGCACACCTATGATCTCGCCGTCGATCAAGTGAGTCGTAGTTACAGCATCGTAGACGATCAATTCAATATCTTGGGATTCATGAAATATACCACGAATCAGCATAGAACAATTCATGATTCATCGATGTATGCTGATGTTTGCTTTATATCACGTTCTTCCAGATGGAAACACTCCGAGGATTGGTACGTAGCGTTCTACTCTAACGAGAAGTGCATCACTTCCGGAGAAAGAATAATCAGGATCTCATTGAGCGACGAAGATCACGAATATATGAACGGTCATGTAATTGATGGAAGGAAATTGGTACCAGCTACAGGATATATATTTTTTATTTGGGAAACAGTTGCCATGTTAAAGGGCCAGTGGCAAAGTAACGTACCTGTCGTGTTTGAGGATATCAAATTTCTCCGGGCGACCCATATGTCCAGCCAGGGAAATGTAGAATTGACGTTAATGGTGCAGAAAGGTGAAATTTGCTTAATGAATAATATGCGCATTCGCATTTTACGCTCCGTAGATTTGTGGTCATAATTACATATCTATGTTTTTGCAGCAAGTGGGATATTTGAGATAATAGAAGGTAACACCACTATCGTTACTGGCAAGGTGCGTGTACCGTCGGATCCTGCCAAGGAAAGAATTGTGACTGATTTCTTACAAAACGACGATGACGAAGAAGAAGTGATGAAGACAAAAGATGTCTACAAGGAACTCAAATTACGTGGATATCAATATACTGGCGTGTTTCGAGGAATAAAAAGTTCATCCATTATGGGCACGCGGGGGCATATAGCTTGGTTAAATAACTGGGTAGCTTTCATGGATAATATACTGCAAATGCATATTCTCGGCACAGACACGAGTAGCCTTTATGTCCCTACTGGGATAGGCAGGATGGTAATCGATCCGCAACTTCACGCTCAGCACATTCAGGACATAACAAATGAAGATAAACGTAAGACTTTTTTTCCTAAACGGCATACGTAGGAATCTCCTCAGATGTCTCGCTTCAAAATTTACCTTTCTCTTCAATATGTACTTTAAATAAGCTTTAAATAAGCTTTTATAATATGGATCCTTGCGTTAAGGCCTGATCAGTTAAAGTGCAACAAGTTGTACAAGCTGAGTAACACATTTTTAAATTTTCACCTAGAACTTGCTGTGTGTATGTACAAAAAGTTGGACACAATAGTATCCGGTGGTATAGAGATCAACGGTATTTCGGCTACTCCTATATTACGACGGAAGCCAATCGGACATCCTGTTCTTGAAGAGTACAAGTTCGTAGCTCATCGTGACGGAGACAAGGTTCCCTTCGAAGATGGAATAATCCTGTCGACGCATTTGGCCCTGGAGTATCATCAAATGACGAGAGTGAACATTATCGAGCTGATCGAAGACGGCGACGTCTCCGAAATAACAACCAAGGAATTAGCGTCCCCAATTTTCGTCGAAATCTTGAGCAATTTACCACTCATTCAACCCAACATCAACCTAATAGCGAGAACCAACAGCCTCGATTGCGTCATACTTCCTCCAGAAATTACAATATCGCAGTCGAAGAAGCTGTCAAAGGATGACAATGCGATATTAGTGTCGGGCTATAATTTGTTAACGAGTGGCAAGAACGATACTTTGAGGGACATCTTACAGGCATTGAAATCCGGCGGGTTTTTGTTGACACGAGGACAGCCACTCGACAAAGAAGACATTGCGACTGCTGAAAGCTACAATCTAGCTGTGGTACTTGAAAAACAGACAGAGAAGGAGCATATTACACTTTTGAAAAAGAGAGGCCAATCGACGAGTAAAACGGATGTTATATTCGCGAACAATCACGAATTTTCCTGGGTGGAGCAACTCAAATTAAGTCTGAGCGAGGAAAATAAATTGACTAACACCACGAGAATAATTATAGTTGGTGAAGGGGACACAGAGTGCGGCTTATTGGGTCTCGTTAACTGTTTGAGGAAAGAACCGGGCGGTGAATTAATTAGAGGAGTATTCATTCAGGACGAGAACGCACCGAAATTCTCATTGCACGATCCCTTCTACGCGGAACAACTTCGAATGGATCTCATTATAAATGTCTTACGCCCCGAAAAAGTATGGGGTTCGTACAGGCATCTTCCGTTAGCGCCTTTGAAATCTAAACTTGTTCACCATGCCTTCGTTAATCAAATGGTATGAACATATATCGAATAGAGTATATTCTCCATTATATCGTTTCCTCCGACATACGACACTTCCAGTAAATTATTTGATTTCACACAGAAATTTTGACATTTACAGGTTCATGGTGATTTAAGTTCATTTTACTGGATCGAGGGCCCGATTAATCTGAATTATGAGCATCCTAGATTTGTCAACATAATATACGCGACTCTTAATTTCAAAGACGTGATGACAGCAACCGGTAAAATTAAAATGGAACGTTTTATGTCTCGCGGAAGAATGGAGGACTGCATGATAGGTTTGGAATATGTTGGTATCGACGATACTGGACGCAAAATAATGGGGCTGGCCGAAAATAAGTGTGTGACTGACAAATCGTGTAATATCAACGAAAAGATATTGTAAAATAATAACGACATAATTCTTTATTCAGGTGCATATCAAACATGCAGGTGTTCGATCAACATCTATCCTGGGAAATTCCGGACGGATGGACTCTCGAGGACGCTGCGACGATTCCCTGCGCTTATAGCACATTTTATTACGGACTGTCTCTTGGTAGAAAGTTAAGGAAAAGCGACAAAATATTGATCCATTCAGGTACCGGCGCTGTAGGACAAGCCGCTATCAATATTGCGCTTCACGAAGGTTGCGAAGTATTTACTACTGTTGGTACCTTGGAAAAACGAAAGTTCATACGAGATACTTTTCCGTCTATTCCGGAGGATCATATCGGAAATTCGCGCGACACCAGTTTCGAGCAGATGATAAATCAACAGACCAAAGGTCGTGGTGTGGATGTTGTATTAAATTCATTGGCCGAAGATAAACTTCAAGCGTCTGTACGTTGCCTTGCCAGAAATGGACGATTTTTGGAAATCGGAAAATTCGATATACTGTCTAACAATACATTGGACATGTCCATTTTTTCGAAAGGGATCAAATTTTACAGCATTATGTTAGATAAAATATTCAGTAGTTCTTTCATAAAAAAAAGCCAATTAAATAATGTATTACGTGAGGGTCTTGATAACGGAGCAGTTAAGCCACTTATTAGAACAATTTTCCAAAAAGATGAAGTAGAGACGGCGTTTAGGTACATGGCAGCGGGTAAACATATCGGGAAGGTAAGATAGTCGATACATATTATTATAGACATTAACTATCCTCAATATATGCGTATATAAGAAAAGAAGTTGCAGTTATATAAAAAACATAAGATTATTGACTTTATTTCGGATTTTCAGATAGTTATAAAGATACAAGAGGAGGGAAAATTCATGAACACGCCTTTGCTTGCCTTACCGCGTTATTATTGTCTACCGAATAGGTCATACATTATCTTGGGAGGATTGGGTGGTTTCGGCTTGGAATTAGCCGACTGGTTAGTCGTTCGTGGTGCCAGAAACCTCGTGCTTATCTCACGAACTGGACTAAAGAACGGTTATCAGCGTATGAAGGTTGAGCTGTGGAAATCTTACGGAGTAAAAGTATTAATCGTATCGAACGTCGATGCGTCAGACATCAAAGATTGCGAGTACATATTGAGAACAGCGGAGGAGCTGGCGCCAACAGACGCCATATTCAATCTTGCTGTTGTACTAAACGACAAGATTTGTCAGAATCACACGATAGAGACATTCCAGGAACCATTCAAAGCGAAAGCGTGGGCCACGAAGAACTTGGACCAGTTGTCCAGATGCATATGTCCTGAGCTACGTCACTTCGTCGTCTTCTCCTCCGTGTCGTGCGGTAGAGGCAATGCCGGGCAGAGCAATTACGGAATGGCAAATTCTATCATGGAAAGAATCTGCGAGAGAAGAACACAGGAGGGCTTACACGGATTGGCGATTCAATGGGGCGCCATCGGCGATGTCGGTATTGTGGCCGACATGCAAGAGGACGATAAAGAAATGGTCATTGGCGGTACATTGCAGCAAAAAATAAGTTCCTGCATCGAGAAGCTGGAAGAATTTCTCTTACAAAAGCAGCCAGTAGTGGCGAGCATGGTTGTGGCAGAGAAGCGTTCGGGCGCTGTTAGCTCCATCAGTGTCATTGACACCGTAGCCAACATTATGGGTAACTTGATAGCGTTAATAAAAACTGATAGAAAATTAATTGTTATATTTTCCGGTGAAATGTATATAAATGTGGGCTATTTATTGCGTTTAATTATTGTCATTTTTGGGGACAACTAATTGGATGTTGGTATATATGTAGGGGAGTTCTGTTAAAATACAATACAATATCAACATTACTTGATTAAAAGCGATTTGATAAAGCCGAAATTTTGGATGTGTATAATATAGGTTTGAAAGATTTGAGTACTGTGTCCGCTCATGCACGCTTGTCTGAGATTGGGATGGACTCAATGATGGCCGTGGAAATCAAGCAGACCTTAGAACGAGAGTATGAAGTCTTTCTCACTGCCCAGGATATTCGGAACCTGAACTTCGCCAAACTTGCCGAAATGTTTAATCAAGAAACGCTGAATGAGAAACTGCGTTCCGATAATCTTAAAGATTCCAGTGACTTGGCTGGTCTAAAATTACTCGTCCGAGTGATAGGCGATGATAATTACTCAATACCCGACGTTTGTATAAGTCTTCCGACGAAAGCTGATACAGCGAGAGACGAGATATTTCTGTTGCCGGGAGTGGAAGGTTGCTGGAGTATTTTCAACTTATTGGCGCCAAAAATAGAAGCTCCAGCTGTATGCTTACAGTACGGAACGTATAATATTGGCAACGACTGTCACACGATAAGCGAAATTGCTGATTGTCTTTTAAAAGTATGATGAATTCAATTTAATACTGTTAAATATTATGTCGATAATCGTAATGCCACACAAGCAAAATATTTCGTTAACTTTGCTTCTCATTATACATGCTTTATGCCTCTTTCCTATGTTTCCAGCATATAACAGACAGAATCAAGTCGAGAAAGAACTTCGTCATAGTCGCGTATTCATTTGGAACAATCATAGGAATTGAATTAGTAAGAAGGTTGGAAGAAATGAGCCTGCGAGGCAGATTAGTACTTATTGACGGCGCACCTGAGCAGATGAAAGCATTGGCGAGTCAGCATCTACCTTTCACTACGATTGATGAACTTCAAAATAATGTTCTACTGGGTATAACGGACATGTTACAACCTGCTGTCAGTGGAAAGGTATTTACTCTCACCAATGTGTGTTAATTTGAGGCTTGAATTTCTCTGGCAAAGATAAAATAATTTCATTATTCCGCAGCTTCTGTTGGAATTAAATAAATTTTCTAACTGGGATGATAAGTTGAATGTGTTTATGAGCCATATTCCGCCAACATATAGGAAAATGTCAATCGACTATTCAAAAGCTACATGTACAACTGTATACAAACATATTCAAGCTCTTCATAAGTATGATGTGACACAAATACAGAAGATTGTGTCATCCGTAATACTTCTAAAACCAACCATGCAATCGTTGCGTGTGCCCGATGAAGATTATGGTCTACATAAGGTACTTGATACAGCTCTTTTAACATTTTGATGGCCGCACATTTTGCTCGTTGACTGTCATTTGACGCCGGTATATCTCGCGTAATTCCTACCCTCTAACGCCGCAACTTTTTGATTAATTTTTGCCAGTATTTTATGAAAAAACTGCACTGGACATATCTTTATAATTTAAATCGTACCATATAATAATACCAACAGCAAGTGGCAGAGCGAAATCACGTAGGCGTGACAGCGGCTGGTAACCGATGGGCTCGCGAAATCACATATACATGAGAGCGGTCATCAAAGTGTTAAGAATTATACTGTGTAGCTCAATAAGCAAAATGTCAGCAGTATGTCAGCGGATGGACAACGAAAAACAAGCAGGACATCTACCATACGTTCCATTTAAATATATTTAAATAATTACAGAAGGACAGGTTCTGCTCGGTTTCTTCCATTAATCTATTATCATATTCTGTTAATAGATTTTGTTGTATCTCCGCTAATAAACTGCTGACGAAACTCACAGAAAACTAAAGCTATGCAAAATGCGATTTTGCAAGTCTGACTAGCTGGAAGTATACGCGGTAAACAAGTTTTAATCAATAATGCAATTTTCAGATTACTACAGGAAGAGTGCAAATTCATTCTGTAGAAGGTAATCACATTACGATCCTTGACAGCGATAAAGTAGTAGCTGCGATCAATGGGCAACAGATTGAAGGTGTCAAAAAAACACAGTCAAATATAATAGACGATAAACCAATAATCTCTGTTGAAAGTAACCGTACTAGATCATAAATACGTTTCTTCCAACAGATATATTAATAGAGATATTAATTTTAACATTTTCAATCCGTTTATCCGTATATCATAGAAATAATTATATAATCCCACTTAAGATAGCAATATTTTCAACCGGTTTTATAAGAGTTATACCGCATGACATATGATTTCTCAGATATATTAATTTTATATGCAAATTTATTACAATTTTATATAATTACAAAGGGAAGTGCTCATGGCATATTGTTCACCGATTCTTTTTGCCTTCAATAACTGCAAAATATTTAAATTACTAGTACCGATACATGTAATAAATAAATTTTGCATTCCCATTTTCCTGTAATATGATGTTCAATGAACATATATCCCTTGCAGTTACTAAAAGCAATAAAAAAATCGGTGTGCAGTATATCAAAAGCACTTCCTTTTGTAATTATACAAAATTGTAATAAATTTGCGTATGAGATTAATATATCTGAGAAACTATATGTCTTACGGTACGACTCTTACAAAACCAATTGAAAATATTGCCATCTGTCTTAAAAGGGATTGTATAATTATTTCTATGATATATGAAAATATCTAAATATAATATAAACTTAGGTCGTTAACTTTTATCAGAAATGTACTATTAATAATAAAATAAAAGATTTTAATAGCACATATGCGCACTACAAAAGAATAACTCCAGAAGATTTTTTCATCCATTTTGTGGTCCTCGAAATTCGAATTAAACTATGTGCCAAACAATACTATAAAATGAGTATTAATTTTAGAAAAAAATTTACTGGGGTATAGAGGTAGTTTTCGAGATACAAGGAATCAAAATGGCCAAATTCTCAATATTATTCAAACACAATAAATACGAGAAGAAAGTTAAAATTTCTTTGATTAAAGTTAGATTTTAATTAAAGTTAGTCAAAATAATATTCTGATCACCGGTCTCTCCACTCTTACTATTGTTTGCTTAATTTCTTTAAAAGAAGAACAATACTACACTCAAAAAACATTTTTGTTAAATTTCTCGAGGACAAATGCAGATATAAAAAAATGTTTCAAGCAATGTGTTATTTGTTTCGGAATTCTGCATAAAAATAGTTCTTTTCTCATACTTTTTTCCCCTTCTTTTTCTTTTTTTTTTTTGTAAAAATAACTTTTTGACCGGAAATGTCTGAAGAAAGATACGAGATTAATTTTACTACGTAATGCGTCACCTAAAATTCTAAAATTCTAGAAGAAAGATATGTAATTTCTGAAAATAAAGGGAATCCTACAAGAAGAAAAGATTACTACAAGAACAAATTGTTAGCGATACTCTTGGAGCGGCAGAAACAGATAACAGTTCTTTCTACTCAATCTGATCTTAATGACCTGGACGATAAGCATAGACCAAATACGTTTTGACAAGGTTAGTCTAAATTATTCCTCGACTTATTGTCTACTGATATAGCGGTAGCCAATCGCAGCCAGAATCAAAGTTTACCGGATGTCATATGAATATGGAAATTTATGATTACGTCTGGGAAACGTTTCTTGCGTAAGCATAACATTAATAGTTATTTTGCTCGTACGATATATTCTATCTAGAATGTATCAAAAAAATAAGGTCAACATACCTAGAAGATAAAAAGGAAGTTTAAATAGAATAGATAAAGCATATAAACTTTCTGTGTATTTCCTATGGTTTAGTAAATACAACGTTCTATACAGGTATACTATATAATACTATTACTATACTATATATATTTATATAGGAAATGTTGGAATCTGTCAATATTTCAAACACTGCACATTTGAAAAAAGGTGTTTTATACAAAAGTTTTAGAATTTTAGGTGACGCGTTACGTAGTAAAATTAATATGACCACAAGTAACGTTATCATGGTCGCGTAAAGATTACATTAAAACTTCTAAATTATAGGTCTTTGCATGATCAAATTTTAAATTTTTACAAAAATATTGATGTCTCAATGGAAAAAGTCCTTCGCACATGATCTACTATAACCGTAAATAAGCTTAACATCTTAACACATAAATAGTATAAACACATAAATAGTATAAGACTGTCGATGTGTTAAAAATACTATTTAATATAGCTCATACGGTGACGGTTTATTCGTAAAATATATAATTATATTTCCGTAATATTTGTTTCATAGAGGGATTAAAAGTGAATATAATAATCAGCGTCTTAATTCATAGCGTCACGGAAATGTCAATGCCTAAATAACGTACGAAACAAATGACACCTCCTAGACGCCAATGTGTAGCTAAAAATTAAACTGAAGAACCAGCTAAATCATTGTCTTGAGTCTATGCATTCTAAAAGATAATATAACTGACGATAAATTTGATGTATGTAGTACTAGTATATTTAAAACCAGTGAATTTTACATTTCTTTGATCCATATAGAGATCATCATACCATATGGCGCGTACTGTTTTGCTAATTTTCATTATTTTATATATTTAATATAATATACACAAGATATCCCATTTTAATAGTGCACCTCGATTATCATTACAGGGAGCGGTCGTAGAGAAAAATGTTTCAGACGAAAGTTGTAGGGTTCAAGGGAGATCATCTGACGGTAACCTTCATCTTGATCTTGGGGTCAAATTTGAAAGTCATACGAAGGTCAACATAAAAGTTTTAAACGAGAACCCCTACTTTTCAGTACATATTCTTACATCTCAGCTCGAGAGCTTTCTAAGACAATATAATTAAGTATTTCTTTATTCTGTATTTTCCGAGGTACAAGGCTTGAAACAGTACCGCCAGCATTACCCAAGGTGTATCAAGCTGGAGGTTGCTCGGTCAGATTTACACCTTTCTTGTGTGTGCGTGTGCGTGTGCGTGTGCGTGCGTGTGTGTGCTGAACTACAAAAATATATACTCAAAAATAGGGGTTCCCGTTTAAAATTTTTATGCTGATCTTCGAACGACCTTCAAATTTGACTCCAAGGTCAAGATGAAGGTCATCATCGGATGACTTACTCTGAACCCTACATCTTTTGTCTGAAACATTTCTCTCTACGACCGCTCCCTGCAATGATAATCGAGGTGCATCATTAAAACGAAGCAATCTATATAACATTATATTTTTAATAACTGTTACGGAAATATTGTTTAATAACGGAAATCGCAAAAAGAGTATTTTACTATTCTCTTTACTACAGTATTTTACTATTCTCAGCCTGATGACCCTTAAATATATCTTAACTTTGTTTAATTACCTTAGTTAATTTATTAACTAGCATGTAATCTAATATGCTAACATACTAACTCAGCTTACTCAGCATGTTATATTCAACATTCAACATAGTGAAAATCAAAGTGTTACAATACTGTTAGCATAATATCGAATTTGCATATATTTCCCTATAACTGCTGCACTTGCTTTATGTACAGGGTGATAATTGATGACAAAAAAAATTTTATGTTTTGCGACTTTCGTTACAGTTATTAAGAACGTTATTCTGTCATTACATGAGAAGATTGGGAAATAAGCACGATTCTTTTAAGCAATTCATTTTATAACAAAAAAAATAGAAAATAGTTGTTTCAGTTCAGTTCAATTCAGTTTTGTTTCTCTCATAGTTCAGTTATTTCTCTCATTCTTGTCGAGTCTATCAAAACAGTTAGGTAATGATTCCATTATACTCCTACACGCTGCACTGATTTCGTCTCCTAGATTTATATTCCTAGATTGTCCTTATAATTAATACGTCAAATGCGAAAAATTATCCCAGAAATGTTGTTACATTCTGTGGAAATTGTATTAGTTTACTTTTACTCTGTTTGTCGTGTATTAATACAATAAGGCCATACATGCATATAACTTATATATGATTGCAAATAAAAATGTTAAATATGTTCTATGATGCATTAGTTTCTTCACATTATTGCAATAAAAATAGCAATGTTGAAAATTTTGCAAATTTTACAAATTATAACTTACCATTTATTTGAATCAAACATCTTTATTAATCTTGATATCGCCGGTCACCGGTGACCTTCACTACGTGACTAGTAAATTACCGGACCCCGTTGACCCCAACAGCATTCAACGGCGTTCGTATAAAAGCGTTCTGCAATTTTTCCATTTCGTCAGTAATGTGTGAGGCTTAATACCACATCGTTAGAAATCTAACATATTTTCAGAGTAGGAAGTAATTTAAAAAAAGTGACATACAATATATGTGAAAACTAAATATAGATAACATTAAAGTTTGCGAGCTTGTATTAATTGTATAAATATATTTAAATATGTATTGTAACGGCACATCCACGATTGATTCGGCGCCGATTCGGGATGAAATCGTTATATCCGGAATTTCTGGCAGATTTCCCGAATCCGACAACGTCAGACATTTAAAAGAAAATCTACTGAATAAAGTAGATCTAGGTTCGGACGACTGTCGACGTTGGCAACATGGTAATATCTTCTTAAGTACTATTATCCAAAGAAGTATCGATATATTACATTTTATCTCATATCTGAGTGTTGTTGCTTTCCACATGTTATTTAATTCGCAGACCATCCGGATATACCAAAACGCACGGGAAAGGTCAATAATATCGAGAAATTTGATGCGGAATATTTTGACATACCCTTCAACCAAGCCCACCTGTTGGATCCTATGACTAGATGTCTTTTGGAACATACGTACGAAGCCATCGTCGACGCTGGGATAAATCCGAAAGATTTACGCGGCACGAAAACAGGAGTTATCGTCGGGACAAGTTTTTCCGAATCGGAGAAGATGCTTGTTTATGAAAAGACGCAGGTACAAAAATGCAAATAACATGCAATTAATTATCCCAATCTTTCTCACAATTAAGTTTGTATGCAGATAAATAGATTTCTTATAAAATTATAAAATCTGTTTCTTATTTCGAAAGATTTAACCGTCTCATTCAAAATTTAATAAAATGTAATCAGTTAATATAAAAAGAAAAGTATGAGGATAATTTAATTTAATAGATAAAGGATTTCTGATCGATTTTTAAACGGAAGTCTATTTTGTATTTTCTCCAATAATTTACGATTTTGATATTTAAATCACAAAGAGATGAGATTGAATGAACTAAATCAAGACAAGAATGAATGATAACAATTGTACGTTATTTACAGGGTGTCCCATTTTAACTTTCGCATTAAAAAATACCGGAAACTATGAAACACATTAAAAAACGCTAAAACACGTTTCCCATTATTTCGAAGGGGAAAGAGAATGGCATTATCAGTTTTTTATTTGGAGGGCATTTTCAAGTTCAGTTGAAGGTCAACTTAATTTTTTTAAACAGAAAGCCCAATTTTTTATTATATCTTCTTCTGTTATTAATCAATTTTAACAACTTTTGTCTGAAAAATTTTTTTAATTGTCTAATATTTTTGAAATATTTAAGAAAACTTGGTAACTTTTTCAACATTTAATTTACGATATGTCGTTAACTATTCGTCGAAAGAAAAATCAGTATTAGACTTGTTTACTTTATTTACTACCAAGAATATATTATTATAATAGTGCCCTAACTTTTGTAAACTTGCCGACCTTTGGAAATTTCAAAATTATTAAATTAACCAAAATTTGGACTATTATAATAATATATTCTT